TATAAATATTATATTATAAAAATTAAAAGTAATTATAATATAAAAAAAAAGAAAAAGAAATAAAAAGAATAAAAAAGGTAAAAAGGTAAATTAGAAAATAAAGGTTTTAGTATTAATAAAAAACTATAGATATTAGTAAACTAAAGCTAGCTATATAGATTAGTAATAGATTAAATTAGGCCCTAAGGCAATGTAGTATAAAGAATACAGGTTAAGGAATAACATAGATGATCAACACTTGGGTTACTAAACTATAAGAAGTACTTCGAGTTTATAGGGTAGGCTGTTTAGGGAAGCAAAGGCACTTAATTTATCTGGGTACCAAGCCTGAATGCTCTCTTCCTATCACGTACTACTTGCTCTGTTGTCCTTGACGTGGTAGGAATGATCGAAAGACCGAGGCCACTATATATATTCTTTCAGCAACGGAGCACCAGAGCCGACCAGGAAGCGCTGTAGCAAATAAGACCAGCTATTAAGATAACTCGCTCTCTTTCCGCTTTATCCTCTCGTTTCATCTTCATCTTGGATATACCCAGAACAAACTCGAGGGAACGAGCTAAGAATTAATTGGCTTGAGAGGTTACACTCCTTCTTCAACGTATGTAAGAATCGAACGATGTGAATAAAGATGACCAGCCACTGGCGCTTCAATCGAGGAATCAATATCCTTGCCGCACCCTCTAAAAACCCATTGGACATAATATGCAACTTGAATCACTATCACAATCCTCCCCTAGTCTCGTTTGGTCGCCTGGCGCCAAGGAAGCCATCCGGGGCCGGTCGAATCGTGAGACTAGGCGCGCTCGCGGTAACGAAGGCGTCTACCGCGTCGCTTCCTTGTGTACTAAAATAACCGAGCTGAATGGAGTGGAATGTGAACAAGCAGAGATAGATGGAATTGGACTGGGCTCATTGATCTTTGAAAGAGCTTAATACTTGATGTTATGGATGTGGCAGGCAACTTAAACTCGTGCCTCGAGAGTAACTGCAGGGCGCGTTACTCCAAGTCCCTGTCAACCATTAAAAACTGTCTTCAGCAATCTGTACATGCTGACAACCACCAAGGCTGATCTTGAAAGTCATTCAGCTTCCAAGCTTTCGAGCCTTGAAGGCTGGATGGAGAGGCAGGTCGCAGAGGTGGCCGGCGTCTGCAGAGCCATTCTTGACAAGTTGATTTGTGGGTGGCGTTTTTGGGTAACTTAGGTAGCGTCGTCTTTAACCGCCGCGAATGCATCCTGGACCTCATGATTGGGTCATTCCGTAGGCTTTTCTGCTAGTATATCTCGACGTTCACTACAACGATTGGCTGGAACCTGATGTTTCGACATGGGCCGTTCTATTTACGGCCAACACACAATCTGCACCTCCATTAATCTTAGCGACACTTTGTCCTAGGTAGTTCGAGTTATGGTCCACTATTATCTTTACTAGATATTACGCCCTAACAGTTAACAAACCATACTTTATCGACTTTACCAAGGTTACTAAAGTTCCCAAGATAGAAGATGTATGTCTGCAGCTTACTTGGAGTTGCAGGGCTGCATATTACAACTCTAGCTGGAATAAAACAGTCACTGCACCCACATATTCGTTTCAAGAGCGTGGTCATAACCTCGATCTGTTTCCTTGGGCCTGTTGTCCAGCAATTTATTCCAATGCAAATGCGGTTTGATCGACGATTAATCTAATCACCATAAACACCAAAAGCTTGTGTTTGACCTCAAACGATCACTAAGCTACCGGGGCCTTTAACCTAGCCTACCATGTTGAGTAGCTCTTCTTGAACTTCCAACCCCGTCCAACATCTCGATTTCATATCCTCTCCGCCGAGATCCCACGGCTCGAATCGAATATGGCTTCCTTACGCTTTGGCCTCAATGCTCCCATCATATTCCTACTTACGTCCTCCGCTCAAGCCCTCTATTTCACACCCGACTCCCAATGTGCTGCTTTATGCTCAGATGGTTCCAATTCAACTTCTTCCGAATTTACTGGCTCCGCAACAAACCCATCAGACATCGTTTGTGAAGATGGAGAATACTCGTCATCAGGGAATGGTATCCGATTCAAAAATTGTCTGAACTGTCTCCAGAAAAGCGAGACCACCTGGAAAAAGGAAAGTGATGTCTTCTGGTTCTTGTGTAAGTCATAATACAGAACTCTTCTCAATCCATCCTTTTTACTAATAGTTCTCTTTTCCAGATAACGTGCGATATGCCTTTGACGTTTGCCTTTACTCTTATCCCGATGCCGTGGAATCAGGAACGGTTAATTCCCCATGCAACATCCAAAGTTCCTGTGGATCACTCGAAAACGCCATGAAGACATCCCTACTCAAGACAAACCCAGATAATCAATTCGATTATTGCGAAGCTGAAGATTCAATCATTAAAAGCTCCAGCTACAAGGAGTGTCTCGGCTGCCTCGAGACAACATCGAACCAACAGTATCTTGCAAATTGTGTGTCACATCCTCTACTTTGATTACTCTTCGATCACTAATGCTCCTTCAGTTCTGGTGGCTTTGAAAGCTGGCTGTATCCAAGAGCCCGAGGCTGGCGATAAACTCGGTCTCAGTGGCACAATCTTCTCGTCTTCACTAATCAACATCACTGATCCCAATACCAATGAAACATTGCCAGGTGATGACGGTGCTCCCGTAGGTTCCATGACCACCGGCACCATCGTCGGGATCGCGGTTGGATGTGGACTCGCTTTCGCTGGCGCGGTCTGTCTTCTATGTATATACTGTCGCCGAACCCGGAAACGCCACGGAGCAGGAATAAAGATCGGATCACCGCCTCCAGATGCCCCAATGAACGATCACGCCATGTATGGCATTCAGAAGGCTTCATATTTTACCGACTACCCGGCACGACCTCTCTCAACTATGAGTAATGCTGCACGACTTGGGGGGCATTCTAGAAACATGTCTAATGCAGAGTATTACGATGGCCTTGGAAATGGTACAGGGAACTCCGAGACGCCCGTTACCTACCACTACGCACCTCATTCGAAGAGTAACGCACCCAACGGCGCTCTTCCTACGCACCCTGCATACATTCCTCGGGTAGTCAGTCGCCTGCCTGACCCCAAAATACCACCACCATCAGGACTTCGTAATGCGAAGACAAACATTCCTGACTCCTATGCTCTCCAGACTTATCTCACTGCCGCTGGTGGCACCAGCACTGACTCTCAAAGCGCGGGAGAGACCCCTTCTGGGAGCGTGACAACTTCTCTGGCCGGTAGCCGTAACCCTTCTCCTGCTCCGCAGCCGTTGCTTCCTGTCAACCCGCCAGCACAACCAGCATTGGGACCAACATCCTCATTCGAGGCACAGAAGTCCAAGCTACCGAATTTCGCATTCCCTTCGCTCCCAAAGCTCACAATCCCCAAGAAAAAAGCACCACCTCAACTCAACTTGCTGGAAGCGACACCGATTTCCGCGGTTGATAATGACCCAACACGTGAATTAAGGATATCCAAGCCACTTGCTGTTTTGGATCCCAGGTTCCAGGACAAACCCTTGGGAGGAGGACAAATATTATCCCACGAGATTCCCATTGGCTTCAGTGATGAATACCTCAAGAGGCGAGAGGCCAATGTCTCTCCTCTGTTGAGCGGCAGCAGCCGCGTTTATGGATGAGATGGTAAAACCAGATTTGGTCGGGGATCGTAAGCTTGGGAGTATGGAGTTATTTAGTTAATATATCCGGGCAGAACGCCCTCTAGATCAGTGCGACACAGATAATGGGGACAGGAGTTCATAACGATAATCATTATTCTATCTTGATGTACACACTGCAAGTGATGACTGGATCTGAGCTTGTTTTAGCCCAGTCGCTGGCCTGGGCCACGAGACCGCCACGAGTCTGGCAAAGGGCCTGTGTTAGCACCAGTGCTACGTCCGGAAGACGGTGAATTCTCAGGTCGGACAGCGGTACCGAAACCTCTGGCAGAGATTCTTGGTGTTTGCACAAGACGCTCAAGCCAGGCAGGGGTTCTCAAAAGTCGAGGGCCGTTCCCAAACTCAGGCCAAATTCTTGTGAGAAAATCGAACAGATGGGCGGCGAGTAGACCCTCAATTTCAACCAATGCCTTCTGTGGTCCTGCCATGAGCGCGGTGACAACGATCATGCAGATTGGCAGAGCCTGGGCGGGGATGGTAAGAACGAGATACTGTGTTTTCTGGCCGCGCTGGTCTTGAGTAGTGGTGTAAACCATGGCAAGAATGAGGCCGTTCATATACAAGAAGCTCGTCAGTCCGGCAAGGTAGTCGATCATCTAGCGACGTCGTTAACCTCAGTACAGGCATGATATACGGGTACGTGTTTGATGTTTTATTGCTATGGTATAAAAATGTAGGGAGCTAAAAAACCACTCGAGTGAATTGAGGATCACACGAGCCATCCATATAGACATCCCACCATGCCTGCACCGCAGACCAACCCGGAAATGCGAATGATGGGTGATCCGAAGTGCAGGGGTGATCTTCCTCATTTCCAGGAACCGTGATAGCTGAAGAGGCAAAGCACTATCCGGGCAGATATATGAGGGGGGTTTTGAAAGAAACACATGGGAGAGTAGCAAAGCACGGGTGTGTAGACGCAGGCTTACCAGAATTACGGTGCAGACAAATAATATGTAGAACACAAGATCGACCTTGCGTGGGAAACGTGGGTTTCCCATCTCCAGCTGAACGCTATAGCGATACAGAAAGAACGAGTTGAAGAGCAAGTTGATCGGCTGCATTTCGACGAAGAAACATGTTACGAGTCGCCAGATTTGAGGTGGAAACATCCAAAGATAGGATGGGTGATATATGAGACGCGTGGCTGGTAGTAGCCCTACGATGCAACCAATGGAGGTCAACACTGTAGCAGTAATCAGATTCCTGACATAGTTAGCGAGTGCTATCGAGAACACAACTGAACATGAGCGACTTACCGAGAAACGGGTGGCAGGGCCCAGTAGGCGGCCATCACATTGTCAGCCATAGTGGGCAACTTTGCTCAATGCGGCGACGGTAGTAGTAGCAAGTCAACGATAGCTGAGTTAAGAGTACTTTTTCTGCACAAGGAAGAAAAAGAAAACAAGTGAAAGTTCAGCAGACGTTTTATGTAGAAAGAGAAGAAATATGGGAATCTGCGAAACCAGGCAACCAGGGGCTCATGGTTATTGCTTGCGTGTCATCTTCGTTCTTTGTCTTTGGAAGAGTGTGGAAGGAGAGAAAGTAACAGCTTGGAAAAATTCCGATAAATGAACAATCCGCTATAGCGGGGCGCCAGATCGGGGCCGATGTTCCGCCGAGATTCATGGCCCTAGGTGTGGCTAGTAGGAGCTCGCGCCACACTTGATGAAGCGTGTGTCATGGAAGCGGAAGTGACCGGGCTTCGGGATCTCCAAGCTCACGAACATATCGTCTGATATTGCTGTAAAACTTTTTATTGTATTCACTCATCAATTGGCTCCGGGGACCTCTAAAATACTGAGTTCTGGAGTCTGGGTCCTGAGGTATCAACATCACAAAGACAAGATCAAACCATCATCATGCGTGCTCACGATGCTATGCAGAGCGAGGAAGCCAATGATGCTGCTTGGGAAGCTGCCAGAGGAGGTGTTGCAGGTGCAGTCAAGTGGGGAATAGGTGCCGCAGTGTTGGGTGCTGCCGGGTATATCTGGTCGCCGTTGTATCGATCCATGACGATTCAATTCAAAGTGTAGGGCTCATTCTCACAGCTGATCCATTATGGTACTGACCTTTTCAAGATATTTACAAATGTGCGGCATGGTGCCTGGGGCCATGATCGAGGCAGACTCACGGCTCAGAGCATACGAGCACCGAGTGAGAATGCAGCGGCGGTTGATGGGAGACAGGGCTAAATGGGAACGGTATGAGGAAGAGTTCATCAAAGGTGATGGCAAGTGATCACCTCTGGCACGGAAACAGAGTCCCTATGATGTCAATCTCTCATTGAAAAGTCTTGACTGTAACTGCTTGGGGTATAACGGCGTACACATGTCACATTAGAGATGGCCATCGAGTCGTCTGTGTAAATCACATTACTTTAGCATCTTTCTTTCGCTTTCTCAGTCGAATACCAACTCCAACGCCAATGATGTACCCATGTCTAGATTCATCTCCATATTCTATACCCGAAATCGCTTGGGATCCATGTTGATTTTGCATAGCCGAACGACGCATCCGCTGAGCTGGAGTAGTGTCTGCACACCTTCAAGAACCTTCATATGTGTAAAGCCAATCTCTTTGATGAACTCCAGCTTTGCATGTTCGCTCAACGTAGGGATTGTTTTCGTAACCTTGAACATAGTGCTAATAATGTCGTGGCTTGAATAACCTAGATCCCAAAGTTCTCGGAGTGTTTCCAGTGCGGAATCAACATTGCCTTCATAGCAAGCCTTCAGCATCGCCTGCACCTTGATTGGATGAGGCGAGTCGACAACCTTGAAGACATTGTCTCCTGAGACGAATCCAAAACCGGCAAAGGTAGATTGAAGGTTGTTGATAGCTTGTCGCATATCTCCCTCGGCGCTGAAAACCAAGGCTGCAAGTCCATCATCACTGTATTCGACCTTTTCCGCCTCAATAATTTGCATAAGTCGCTTTACGACTTGGGCATCCGTTAACTTAGCGTATCGTAGGATGGCGCATCGTGATTGGAGGGGTTCGATGATCTTATTGGACTGGTTGCAGGCAAAAGCGAATCGTGTAGTGTTGGAGTAGATCTCCATAGTTCGTCTAAGGGCTTGCTGAGCACCCGAAGTCATGCTGTCGGCTTCATCGAGAATAACAAGTTTATGGCGCCCCGCAGGCAGAGTGACCTTCTTTTGGGCGAAGCCCTTGATTCTGTTTCGGACAACATCAATGCCTAGGCGTGTCAGTGAGGTGGTCATCATATCAGAGGATCCCTAGTACCTCGCTCGTCACTCGCATTGAGCTCCAAGACCGCTTCCTTGTACGATTCACCTAAAAGTTGCCTGGCCAGACATAGAACACTGGTGGTCTTTCCAATACCAGGCATACCCGAGATGATTACATGGGGCATGTTGCCTTCTCTCGCAATGATCTTTAGTCTTTCAATCGTTTCTGTGTTGCCGACGACATCGTCGAGGAACACTGGTCGATACTTTTCTACCCTAGGAACAATCAGTGAGCAATTCTTCAAGGGGCATGTAGGGCATACCAGGGAAGTTCATAATTTGTGGTCCCATTGGAAGAAGCTTTGAGAGCGGCCTTTGAGGCAGAGTTCGACGATTCGCCACGTTCTTCGGGTTTTTGGGAAGACATTTTGGGTATGCTGTTGTGGTGAAATCGTCGATCCTACACTACAACTGAAGCCTGAAATGGTATGTCAATCACTTTACGCGACTGGGAGAATACAGACGCGTCGAGCTGACGGCCCGTGCGCTAGAACCTGGAGCCAAGGTAGTGCCCCACTCATGCCACCGCTTTCTACTTTCTATGGCAAAATCTTGTCAGTGCGATAACTTTTTTGAGTCTATCAAACAGCGAACATATCACCAACAGTATCTTGAGTTCCACAGTTTCTGGACGATTCACGACGAAAACACAGCTGAAAGCCCACGAAAATAACAGCAACCTCAATTTCAAAGCTTCACAAACGATCAAGCAGCCATGGGTGTTCAGAAAAAGACTCGCAAGTTCGCAGAGGTATGCATCCTTATCGATAAGCAGCGCAAAAAGTTGCCCAAATTTCAAGATATCCAACGATGAAGATGGGGCACGCAAACATCAAGCACCTCAAATGCTGACCACAATACGCAACAGGTGAAGCGACTCATTGGTCGTCGCGATGCCAGACTAAAGGAAAACAAACTCAAGGCTGAGCTCGCTCAGAAGGAAAAGGAAAAGAAGACCATCAACGGCGAGCTTATTCGAGAAGCGCCTCAGATGCCAAGCAACATGTTCTTTCAACACAACACAGCTCTCGTTCCTCCCTACAACGTCCTCGTGGATACCAACTTTCTCAGTCACTCGGTGCAGCGGAAGCTCTCTCTTCTCGACTCCATGATGGATTGCCTCTATGCGAAGTGTAACCCTATCATCACATCCTGTGTGGTAAGCCTCCAGCTCCAAGCTTGAATCCTTCGGACCGCGACTAACAGGTATTTCCACTCTTAGATGAGCGAACTTGAGAAGCTCGGACCTAAGTATCGACTGGCCCTAAGAGTTGCAAGGGACGAACGATGGACACGGCTTGAATGCGACCACAAGGGCACCTATGCAGACGACTGTTTAGTCGACAGGGTGCAGAAATCCAGAATCTATATCGTGGGGACAAATGATAAGGCGCTCAAGCAACGGCTACGAAAGATTCCTGGTGTGCCAATCATGAGTGTGGCAAGGGCCAAGTACGTGATAGAGAGGTTGCCAGGTGCGCCTGACTCCTAGGTGTTCTTTTGTTGTTTGGGAATGGAGAATTTGCATTCACGAGTTTACGACGCATCACATAGCTTGGTTCTGGCCAGCACTAATGTCGTTGAGCCTGGTTACTATTTGAAAGGGTCATTATGCGATGTTCTAGGGTAAGGTAGCTAGGTACAAAATTCAGCGGGTATTCACCCTCTTTCATAGCAGAAGGGCAAGCTACTACATATTCAATTGGATGGCTCATGTTCTTCACATGGGCTGCGCTTTTTTTTTGTTTCAGGGTCGAGTTAGTTGAGTATTTATTTAACTCGTCCAGCCCAACGATCGGGGTTGAACTCATACAGTGTTCCCCGGAAATAAGTGGCCGTGAATCCTTTGGTGATATGTGATTGGATGTTCATCAGTATCTGACCAGGTATATTACTGTGGCATCTGACATCCATCTTAAGGTACGCATTCACTTTTAAATATCCGTATTAAACCGTCGAAAACGACTTATGTAAAGTCAATAATACACACTGTCTGGTATTGTTGACAATTGAATCGTCCCTCGACCTTTGGGAAGCTCCCACACCAGCGCGTTATCTGATGGAGATGGATTCCAGCCCAAATGATAATGATCAGTCATCAACATCAGAAGTCCGTCAGAAGCGCTCACGCGTTCTTCTTTCATGTGCGCCATGTCGAAACTCAAAGTTGAAATGTGACAGAGAGCAACCATGTGGGCAATGCTCCAAAAAGGGACGCGCATCTCAGTGTACTTATGCCCCAAAACCTGAACGGAAACGCCCTGCCAAAGGCATGTCCGCACGTTTGAAGCGTCTCGAGGGCATGGTGCGGGAGATGATGGACTCTGAAGGTGCAGTCCCAGGAACCCAAGCAGGTACCGGAGCCGGTGCAGGATTGGCGAATGGTACTGCTACAGGACCGGACGTCCAAGGCCATGTCGTGCACAGCAAGAAAGGGGCAACCTACGTTGGCGCAACGCATTGTATGGCAATGCTGGAAGATGTACGTATTCATAGATGAGTCTGTGATGATTATATGGAGCCGGGACTAACAGTGAGTTAGATTGAGGACTTAAAAGACTACTTTGAGCAGCCTGAAGAAGCGGGAGAGGATCAAATCCTAGACGACGAGATTGATCCAACAGAAGTCATGTTGAACACAAGAGCTGGACCAAGGAACCGCGAGGAGCTACTTAGTCGCCTACCGGACAGAATGGTCGCAGATAGACTTCTTTCGCGTTACTTTGCGTCAATGAGTCCTTCGCAACGTCAGTATGTCCCTCTAAACACCCAATGCTTTTACTAACAATTGCCAGATATTGTTCACCGGCCAGTTTTCACCAGGCAGTATTCTAAGTTCTGGCAAGACCCTAACGAAGCATCATTGCATTGGATAGCGCAATTATTCATGATGCTCAGTCTTGGCGTCTTTTTCAATAACTTTATAAACTCAAGTGAGCTCACGGGTGACTCTCCTCTCCCAGCCCAGGACCGGATCCGTCACTACAAGGCTTGTGCCGGATGGGCTCTCGTCTGGGGCAAATATACACAACCATCCTCGGCGACGCTCCCAGCGTTCTTGCTCTACGTTGAGTCATCTTTCCTCTTCAACCGTGCAGCTCAAATGAACTGCTACGTACTCTCAGGCGTATGCATCCGTCTGATGCTCAAGATGGGTCTTCATAGAGACCCAAGTAAGCTGGCGAACATCTCACCTTATGAGGGCGAGATGCGGAGGCGCATGTGGAACATGGCCATTCAAGTCGAACTTCTCGTTTCTTTCCACATGGGCCTCCCGAGCATGCTACAAGGTATAGAAACTGACACGGCAGTACCACGAAATCTAGACGACCATGACTTTGATGAGGATTCGACGGAATTGCCGCTTAGTCGACCACCTACAGACTGGACCTCTATGACATACCCGATCCATAAGACACAGATTCTTCGAGTATTTGGACAGATCGCGAGACAAGCTCATGCTCTGACACCGCCAAGTTATGCTGAGGTCGCCAAGCTCGACAACTTGCTGTACGAGACCTGGAAGAGTGTCCCATCTTTCATGATGGTACGGCCACTAGATGAGTGTGTTGGTGATCCGCCCGTTCTGCTCATACAACGTTTTGGGTTGACAGCTCTATACAACAAATGCCGTATTGTATTGCATCGTCGGTATCTCGCAGAGGCAATTCCGCAACGTGAGCATGATTACTCACGCAGGCAGTGTCTAGAGGGTGCTTTGTCGCTGCTCAATTATCAACACATTATCTGGGAAGCTTGCAAGCCAGGTCACGTATTGAGCCAGCATGGTTGGTTTGTCTCGTCCCTCGCGGTTCATGACTTTCTCATGGCCGCAATGGTCCTTTACCTCGTCGTCAAAAATGAAAACTATTCAGAAGTTGGAAGTGACTATGACTGGATGTCGCAGAGTGCACCAACACCAACTAAAGATGAATTAATTTGTATGATCAAGAGGTCTTGGCTCATTTGGGCAGATGTGTCACGAGACGCAGTGGAAGTCAAGAAAACAGCAGATACACTGGCTACAATGTTGGCTAAGCTCGGAGCTTCAGTTGAAGAGCCAGCAAGTGCCCTTGAACAAGCTGTTCCCAGTGCCAGTGGTGATAACGAATACTCTTCGCTTGGGGCTCCATCTGTAGACCCTAGCACACTGGGGTCGATCGGAGGTGATCCGGCACTGCTCTCGAGTCTGGGGTTGGGTAAGACGTCCCAAGGAATATGATAGATAAGAGATATGCTTACAAGGATAGGGTCATCGACGGGATCTACATCAGACCAGACACCCCTGGATCTCAATCTGGCAGGAGATGCAGGAACTAGCATGAACTTTGCGAATATGGGGACGGAAGGTCTTCAGTTTGATCCGGCTTGGATGGATACTGCAGCTAGCAACATGGATTGGGTAAGTTGCGTCGTGGTCGTTATCATGAAAGCTGTGCATTTGGCAAACTAACAATCTCGGCAGCGATACCTCGACATTTCGCTGGCTCACAGTCACGATGCTGGACGCAACGAAGACACTGGTCAGACGTGGATAGAGAGGGCACCGCCGTTAGAACAAATGGATATCATGGGTTCAGGAATCTGGATTCCAGGTCATCCTGAATCCACTTGAGGACGATCAAGCAACGTCCTTAGAAGTGTAGTTACGGTTATACTAGAATCAATTATATTGACAATCTGAAACCAGGTGTTGACCACGACAGCTTATCGTACCTCGTTGATAACTTGTTGAGTCAGATAACAAGATGAGAATGCTGATAACGCTTGAGACAGATCGTCCTCCGGGTATGTCACCGCTTCAACAAACGAAAGGGTGGTGTGGCCCTCACGAACTGTTACAACCACTGGGCCATGCAATGCATACACAACATTCCGAGCTAGGTCCGCTTTCTGGGGAAACGAGATCCGGGGGACTAGCTAGCAATCCCCGTAGAGCATTTAGATGATGATTTGGATGAAGCTCATCGAGGCGGTAGAGGATTCAGACTCCTCAAGCTTGGCCTTTGTTTCTTCTTTTTACCAACACGCGATATTGCCGCAGTATTTGGTGATTGAGCAGTTGGCACAAGATCATCATTGTGACAGTATCACCAATATTGCGAAATGGCTGACGTGTTCGCCTTGAAACACCCACCGATAAGCATGTCAATACACGATATGATAACAGCTGAACCCAATCCAAAGGATCATGGTGATTACAGGGATGTATGACGTCGATCCGGGGAATTGGTTGATGAAATTAGTGGCGCTGCGTGCTCCGCGGAGATGGTCATATCAATTGCGGCGTCGGGATCCAATCCGTCGACACAACATAAACTTGCACAACACCATACAAACAATACGGAACTCTGGCCGAAGTATACTATACGTTCGAGAATGTCGGCTTGCAGCGCAATCCAATATTGAAAACAATATCCAGTGATCAGGTCGTGTGATTGCGTTTGATAGACCGCCAATTCGCAATTTGAACCTTCTAGAACAAAATCACGGTTCTAGAGCATGACGCCCGGGTCCATACGCCGTGTATTGAGCAGGTGACCGGCAAACCACCCCTGAGCCGGTTCACCCTGGAGGACCGAAAGGTATTCATGCAAATCAAAGTCGTACAAGAGCAGCGTCAATCATTGTTAGCAGCGTGAAGTCCTAGCCATGGATTGTTTCGACCGTCTTCTAGACTGGCGAACGATGAATAACATGAGTGAGATTTGTATTGAATAAAGTAAAAATACCCCAAGGAACTCTGAAGAAGGCTTCACGCATTCAATATGTCAAGAGACTGCAGAGCCCACTACAAGCCAAGTCAACAGTGCTTCTGCCATAGCAATAGCCATGGCAGTTCCACACACTAGGGGAAGTTATCCGCCACGATGGAGAGCTCTCGAAAAGCATAGCATAGCAGAAGATCGTTCCGTTCCGTTCCATTTCATTTCGTTTGCGAGTCTGCTGACCAACAAGGGCTTCATCGCCATCCCACGACGCCGCTATCAGTTGCACGAACAAATAGGCAGCTTGATGTTAGACGTGTTGTCAAGTTGATGAGAAATGGATTCGGGTTGAAAATTTTTGACTGGAGAGTCGTGGTACTGCCTGGATACTTTTACCTAATTTGAACGCTACTTCGGCACTTCTTCAACCACCTCCACTTCTATCGTGGGCAGCTTTCTGCCCTGGTCTTTGTCTTTTCGGGGTTGAATACCACCAAATGTCTGGCCGCCGGCCAACTGGGTATCCAGTTCCAAAGGAGAAAGAGACCTAGACCTGGATCATGACCTGGACCCGAACCTCAATTTAGTAGCGGGAGCGTGCGTTCCTAGTTGGTTCGCTCCCGCGGGGATGCGAAGATCTGTTTCGTTCGAAGAGGGCAGGTAAAGTCGTGGATCGTTTGTTGGCCTCTCAGTAGCACCGGTATACTGTTCCTCTGCTGGTTGGTACGACCGACTGCCCGCTTAGATTGCTTATTACTCTAATAAGGTTGATCACGGGCAGAGCCTCAGGGTGGTCTTGATGGGCTTGGCAATGGTGTGGTTTGATCGTTCATGATTGTGAGGGTGGAAGAAGGGTAGAAAAGAGGTTGAGAAGAGGTTGAGAAATCGAGGGAATGTTTGTAAGTCGATAGATTAGATAGGTGTATTCCGAAGTGGAAAACAACTGCCATTTACGGATAATATTGCTGGGACTGATAACTAATAAGCGCCTGCCCTATCAAAGCTCGGCCTGTTGGCGACAAGCTGAAGTCAGTGCAATTGAAGTGACCTGTCCAATACGGTATGGGAGCCTGATACTTCAGCTCGCGCGGCAACCTATTCCTTGCCCAGACAGAGAGCATTAGCTAGACCATCTTTCTCTTCGACCAAATCATGCCAGTATGTCTCGGCTGCAATGCAGTCACCATCATGAAATGAGGAGGAGTGATGAGGTACACCAGACATCAGCTCCCCTCTCCGACCTGATATTGGGTTGGTGATAGTGTGGAGGAGGTAGTATCGCGCCATATGTGCCAATCGTGGGGTAATCACTGCGCCGCAGAAGCCAAAAATGGAGAGGTCAATTCCATGATGGACTTGCCTGCTTAATCTGCGCCGTACTGTTGGGTGATGATGAGGGGTTGATTTAGCAAATAGGTACTAGACCAGGTCAACATCAAGGGACGGACCAGCCGTGGTCTTGTGATGCATTCATCAGGCTAAAATGAACCGAAAGGGAGAAAGCAAATTACTCTAATTCTCTATCTATATGTCCCGACATCAACGTTGTAGATGGAATCGAGTAAAAGCTATGTAATGGGAATGAGGACCGGCGCCTATTGGCGAATGATGGTGTTGGGGTATGGCCGATTCCGCAATCTGGAACCTGGAGCATCCCCGTCGTTTGTCAAATTGTCTCTCTTGTCATGACATGGGTGGCACTGCATTTGTCTGGTTTGGTTGTTGGACCTGGACCTGGAATTCCTTGTTGGACACCGACACCTTCATGGTTAAAATGACATTTCAAGTCGACGACAGATATGCAAGAGCTGCCAAGATGTTGCCCAGATCGGCCGCTCACGAGTCGAGTCCCCTACTCACTTATTATGCAGGGAAATATTAACCTACACCTATCCGACAGTAGGCTGACTTCATGGCTGATACAAACATGGGGCGCTAAATAAGCTTCCTTGTCAGTTGACTCCGAGACACCGACCTGGAGATATCAATACATCAGTGAGTTCTGGGCGATAAGCAGCGCCCTGGATCGCCGATTCAGAGACAAGCTTGAACTGATCTTGGTGTGATTGGCCATCCCCGGACTTTCAATCTGTGCTGGGTTTAGTCCAAGAGATGGTCTTGTTTGAAGTATTTAACAATTACGACGTGAGAGACCGAAGAGAAGATGAGCTTATTCACAGCCAGGTGTGAGTGAAATGAGGCCTTCGATGGTATTGCCGGAGGGGCAAATGGGAACACGAGTTTCGGTGGTATTGCGTCCAAACCTTGGCCTTTTAACGACATCCAGCAGGCTCTCGAGAGGTCAGCTCGTGGCTCGTGGTGTAAGATTGATAGCGATAGCCTGGAAACAAGGAGGCTCATACCACGAGCAATCAGTTTTTGCCCCGATTGGTCCAAGCTTGACCATCTTGGCCGATCCGCTATCCACCTTGACGGCTCCAGAAGCTTTTCCAAGGCGTAGCCGGCCGATTTGAAATTTCTTACCCTTGGTGACCCTGTTGCCGTGCGCGTCCGGCATTGGCTCAAGCTTTCATATTGGGTGGTGAGTTAACGTAACGCCTCTGGATTCCCGGAAACCATTATTTCCACCATCATCACGAGGGTAAGGTAACTTGTACTTGGGTGGTCTGTTTTGACGTCTGTAAATGGCCCACTGAATAGCTGCGTCCAACTACCATGGGAGTGCAGCCCTGGTGCAGGGGCGCCTGTAGGCGTCACCTGGGGTCGAAAAGGCAACATCAGGTCTCTTTATCTTTCGTATCTTGCCCTGTCCTGAGTAATAAGGGAGGAAAATCTCTTCATTCAAAAGGACGGTCAAGAGTTAAACCCGTTTCATCCGGAAAGGTACTTGGTAGAAGTACTGATAAGAAGATTCGGAGTGGTTCCGTCTAGGTTCAACAAGGTTAGAGGAGAGGCAAGGCGAGACAGGTGACTTGCTGACCGAAATCCTAATGGACAAAAAGGGCAACCGTTAATGTACTCCCGTCATGCCATGATACCTGTGTCTTGGCTTGAGTCGAACCATCCACAAAGGTACCTTGACAGTGCAGGGTACTTCTGTAGTGACGTTGAATTAAAGATGGCGTTTCTTTTCGATTCTCTTATCAGTCGGTCGAGTCGGTTTCTGCTTGCCGGGTCCGGGTGTGGTTATGGAACTTCTGGTCAATTTACTTTCCCATTGTGACGATGAACCGGTCTTCGTTATCGCCTGGTGCTCCCCCTCTATCCTCTTGCTCCCTCTAGCTTCCTATTATCGAACAAGCCAAGTTGGCGAGCATCCATCCCCAGTTTCTAACCCGCAATCTTGAATCTTGTTCCCCATTTCCCCATTCTTTCCATCCTGTTCTACTGCGCTTCTGCACGTATAGTCAGCCCTGACACCCTATTTGTGTAAGCTCTTGAGTGTTGCTGTTATTGCGATACCCCGCCAAATCAGGAACCGTCTTTGGATGAGACAAAGTTAAATACCCGCAGGATGAAATGATAAGGAAGCAGGCAAACAATCTCATTCGCTGCCTTATGCCACGGGGTTAATCGTCACTCAGACAAACTGAACTTGTAGCGTATACTTGCCGCCAAGCTTGAACTAATACTTAATTAAAAGTCGAGGGTAGATTTTCCCGTACAAGTTAATAATTAAGTGGTCAGCTTAGCCTAGACCCCTCATTCATCGTCAAGGTTGTTCTTGATCCCTTCATTCTTTTCGAGCTACGTGCAGCTTTTGTCTTGGCCCTCTCCAGCTACCACCTATTTGGACTTCATCGACGCCATCATATTTTTGGTGTCGGCCCCAGATCGTACCCACGAGGGTCCTCGTGTGTGGCTTCGTTCAGTGATATCCATACCTGTACCCACCGACTGAGTGTGAGTGTGAGGTTAGTTTCAAGGACTCGGCGCTATCTCTACACCTTGGTTGTGATGTCGCATACACCCCCTCGCTATCAACCTGCAACCGCACGCCATAAACCGACACCACCCATACCATCCATACCTACATTTGAATACCTTACATAGGTATAGGTTCTGCTCCTGCTTGGGTTTGCTACGCTGCCTTACTAACACACCGACCGAAGTCGCTCGCAGCAGCCGACCTATCTTATACTTGTGCAGAGCCCAGCTCTCGTGTCTATTCGTGAACGACGACTTGACCATATATCTCTTGCAGGAGATCGACCTTGACCGGTGCAACGGAACCCCTTGTTACAGCTGCAAGTCGAATCATCCGTCCTCTCGACTCAACCCATCTCAATTTGACTTCATCATCTGAGTTCTCGGCTCTCTTCGCTACGCACGCATTCGAACCCTTTGAAGCTGCGTCGTCGCTTACAGGACCCTGAAGGCACCACGCTAGAACCTTTTCCAATTCCACCTTCACCCACAATCGCATATTGGGTCAGGGTTGTTTGTTGGATTACCATTGCCTTACCTATTTAAATCCACCTAGGAACTGGGGCGCGCACACTGCACTGCACGCTGAGCGCAAGCCTGGCCTGGCGCAAACGCCGCGACGGAGCATCGTGACCTCTTTTTTATTTCTTTTACTGGGGTTTCGAGTTTACTAGTCGACAGTCGCTTTGTTGTGTCCTGTCTGGGTTTCTCTATATTTTCCTCCCCCTCTTCTCTCTCTCTTCTTGACTTTTCTCACGATCTCATACTTCTCCCTCCTCAGCTTCGAGCAGACAAGCAGACCACCACAAATACCTAATACCCTGCTGTCTGCTGGTGGTTTGGCTTCCGCACCTGCATTGGCTTACCCTCTGATCCACCACCACACCTGAGTTTTTACGTACAGACCATCGCCTGTACCTTTCAACGTTACCTTTCACTTGGTGGTCATATCTCGTTTTGCCTCCCAAACCGGCATCCCGTGGACCACCCCCGACATAATACCGGCTCTGGCTCTGTTCCGACCCGGCTAATAAAGGTCTTTCTGTCTCCGCTCCGTGGCCGGTGGCTTCAGCCCTCGAGTCAAGTTCCGATAGCGACGTGATATTTTCTTTTTCTTCCCGCTCACACAGAGAGTGCATCAGCGCACTCCTATAGCATGCCCGCTCAACTAAACGGGTCCATGACCGCCAGCATCCCCATTCGAATACCCGGCGACCAGGTCCAGGCTCAGGCTCAACCTGCTGTTTTTTACAAGCAGCACAAGCACTCCAGATCTTCTTATTCCGATTCTTCTCCGCTCGCAAATTCAAGGAACAATTCTTTAACTTTCCGTCCTTACAAGAGGCTCATGTCAAACCCGGACAAGACCATCGCTGTCATCAACGCCAGCGGGCGACAAGCTGCGTCTTTCATTCGCGTCGCCACTGCCGTTGGTTATCATGTGCGCGCTCAGTTGAGAAATCTCGACGGTGTCGTCGCTGCTGAAGTCTCGGGGAATCCTAATGTTACCGTATTTGTTGGCGAGCTCTACACAAGACATCAGCCCTCTGAAGCAAACCGTGATGTTACCAAGCACGGCCCACTGGCCGGTGTCGGCGTCAACTACGACTTGATCGCAAGTCTGTTCCGCGGCGCACAACTCGCCTTCATAAATACAACTTTTTACGGCGACGAGATTCAAATCGGAAAGGCCCTAGCCGACGCCGCTAAGCGCGCGGGAATTCAACACTACGTGTACTCGTCCATGCCCGATCATGGTGCTTACAACCCCGAATGGCCCTCATTACCCCTCTGGGCTGCCAAGCATGAGGTCGAGCAATATGTGCGCAAACTCAGAATACCAGCCACTTTTGTGTACACTGGTATTTACAACAACAACTTTACCTCCCTTCAGTACCCCCTTTTCTGCATGGATTTGCAAAAAGACGGCTCGTTCAAATGGCAAGCACCTTTCCATCCTGACGCTAAGCTACCCTGGTTAGATGCCGAGCATGATGTTGGTCCCGCGGTCCTGCAAATCTTCAAGGATGGACCAAGCAAATGGAACGGAGAGCGCATTGCACTTGCATATGAATACCTGACACCCAAGGAGGTGTGTCGACTATTCTCTAAAGGAGTTGGCCGTCCTGTGCGCTATGTGCGAGGTCCCATTGAAATCAAGGTTCGAATCCCTGAGGGCTACCGGGAACAGCTCGTCGGTCTGGAGAAACTGTTCGACCCGAATCAGAAAGATCCTCGAAAGCAACCGCCTTACTTCGGCGACCCCAAGGTCGAAGTCAGTTGCCCAAGCGAAGCCTTGGAGTTGTGGGAAGGCCCTAGAGGCATCGAAGAATACGCACGTGAGATGTTCCCCATAGAAGAGGAAGCAAATGGTCTCACATGGATGCTGGACGATGATGCGAGTGACGATGAGGAGGTGCACAATACAGCAACCCACGTCGAGCAACTGAGAATCCACGACGGTGACGATGATAGCGACGACGATAATGACGACGGCCTTGTCATAAAAGGTCGCAAGCGGGACGAGGAAGAGTGGTTAGCATAATGGAAACCCATGGCGTCTGGATCTTGGCTAAAATACGACATCAAAAGCAGGAAAGGGGTTGAAAAAGGAGAGTTAGTTCATCGGAATCTAGAGGCCCAATCCTGAGGCGATTACGGAACGGAGCAGACCTGGCGACGCGGTATTGCATTTCGGCAGGAGTTGTGTTTTTGGAGAGGCGTCTCTACCGGCGTAGGTTTGGTCTAGGAACCTAAACGATTTTATTATGACTTATCAATGGATGAAATAAAAGTAACGAATTACCTTTGCCTCAATTTTGTTGTGTCTTTAGCTTGTGATGTGCGTTGAACGTAGCATTTATCTGTAAGGTAGCCGATGCTCGTGCAACTCGGTAAGACTGAGACCTGATACCACCTGACTAGTTGGAAGTCTTGTGTTTGAAGGCCACCATCAATCTAAATGACAAAGGCTCTGCTCAAATTTCTGAGTACTCTCCAGTAAGACGCACATCCAACAACGAGTTGGCAAAAGCGTGCGTGTCGATAGAACGATAGTATACAAAGTGAGCATGGAAGAGGGATGGCTGCCTCGACGGGGCTGAAATGAAACGGGGAACTCAGCTGCTTCTTATACGGGATTGCCTTAGAGCCGGGACTAATAGATTAATAAACGACCACCTCGTCATGCATAACACCACTATGTTTATCTGCCCCCTTACATCAAGATGCTGGTTTGTCATAACAAGGTTTAACAGTATATCATGGCAACACCACTTACTACCCCCGCGTATCCGCCCTTCGTACCGTTAGACGTGGCTCCCATGTAAGAGCGCGTGGGGTTATGTTTGTTCTCGAGAGACTTGCTTTGTAAATGGTTATCATCCGTGGTTTCTCTATGCTTTCTTGGTGAAGTTTAGATCGCATGGCAAGAATCACACGAGGACGAGAATTGCTACATTAACTACCCCGGAATCAAAGACTTGCCAAGATTATCGCCACGGAGGTCGAGTTACACGCCGCGTGGGGGAGAAATCCGGGGTGACAAGGGGATGAACTCTCCGTTATCTAGCACGATTAGGGGCAATGCAAGAGAGGGTGGTCAGGGTGTTTATCTGTTATGCCTCTCCTTATCTATCAGGACTCTAGGTCCAAGATCAAACGAAGCTTTTCAACGAGGCAATTAGAGCCAGCTTGTTGTGAGTTAAAGAATAGTCAACAGCGAGTCTCATTCTGTGCATGTTAAACAATTATGACGGAGATCAACCCAAATAATTGTTCTATCTGCTCTAATCATGACCCCAGGTGCTCAGACACTAGGATATCACATGCCTCATCTGCAACTGATAAGATACACAACTTGATCCAGTATTTCCTATCAAGGCCGCGGAGTCGTGCCGGATATCCAGAAGTTCGAGAAGATATTCAAGGCTTGATCAGAAGTGCCCTCGGCCGTTGAAAGCTAATCGAGCCTCTATGATATTGCTTAGGCGAGAGGAGAACTGCAGTGAATAGTGCAATGCTCTTGTCACCAACCTTTTTCGAATATCAGGGATATTGATCCTTGCTGGCGATTTACGATAAGGAGACTACTGTGCCTTCTTGAATCAAGCCAGGGGAGGAAAGAAAACTCAGGATCTTGACCCTAAATAACAAAAGGTCTTAGGAAATTAGCACAAGTTTAGGATACCTTTTATTAAGTTTATTTTGATATCCTATATTAGAGTCCGATATTTTCTTCGATGACCTCGTCGGGATCAACTGGGTGACGTACGTTTTGTTCATTGGTATTGTCACGTTCTTGATCGAGTTTCCCTCCTTCTCCAGCGACCACCGTTGGCCCGGAAATATTGTTCGATCGCTCGTGAAGGGCCTGGAAGGTTGAACAGGAGCATATGGTGATGATATTGCCGGGCTTAGTTGCACTTTTCTGGGGGCCCGGGAGGACGAGGACCCAAACTTTTAACAGAACACACATATCGGTGATATCTTGCTTGAAGTACTTATGGAACCTGCCATCTTAAGTACAAATGTTTATTTTACCATCGCTATTGATCGCTGAAGAAGTATCCACCAAGAGTTGAGAGTTGGGATATCATAGTAATCCCATAACCCAGGAAACAAACTGGGATACAGAGTTATAAAATTTCTAGATAAAGGATCATGATCCTGTAATGATATCTTTCAAGCAGTGTATCAACAAGCTACTAAATATGCCAACGAATTAAGCCAGGTACTCAATGGATACCTAAACTGGGCTGTCAAAGCCCTGGATGAAGAAGGGTCGGTTCTTTTTCTAGGCGGTTAGTTGTCAACTTTTCAGTTAGTGCATTAATTGGATTTACCTCTTGTCTCCGGCTGATGTTCTCGTTGCACCATATATTTGGCAATTCTAGATAGCTGAGCCCAAGGGCTACCCTGGTTTGGCTGACTGTGGGGGATAGGGGGTTCTGGGAGGCGTAGTCGAGGATTGTTCAGGGTGAATCGTAGCTTTGTGAGTCTTGATGTTAATTTATTCTACGGTAATCCTGGCCGCGAACGTGCGAAGATTCTGGAGAACATGTTTAATAAGAGTTTGTCTTATCATGAAATGAGTTCTGATGGTATTTGATAGTCGTCTAGCGGCGATTACCCCTGATCAAGTCCGTGAAGACGCCAACGTCTGCGCCAGCCCAGCTGCTGGGACACCCGCCCATTGCGAGGGCGATTTTGCTTGGCTCGAGAAGATCTACTTCAACGATCTCCTCCAGAAGTGGTACAATAAAGCAGGTGACACACCTAGGTCACATCAATAGAGCTTTGAGAGATTTTCTTCAACCATATATTCAAGTACTGGAGCTTAGATAAGGACTTGGTATCCTTCCTAACGTTACCTGTTAAAAGGCGGGAATATGCCTTAGTCCATGTTGTGAAGTGGGCTGGAGATCTTCCTATTACACCGAGTAAGCGGAAGCATGGCCGAGTTAGAGAAGCGGTGATGCTTGTATGAGTAGATCCGAAAAATAGGTAGCCGAGGAAGATCAACGGTGGCTTGGGCATACTGAGACCAACTCAGCCTCTTTTACAAGAGTAGTTCAGGGCTATTGAATTTTCCCAGTCTCGCAAAATTCCGGGACCACGACCCTAAAGGATAAAGGATTTTTGGAACTTTGGGATGAGTTAAAATAACTTTAGGATGAACTTATGTAATTTTCGTATTAGCTTAGGAGAGCCTTTTCTTAGTCACTTCCAATACCATGGTATATCTTTAGCCTTTCCTCTCTATACTAGATGTCATAAAGAGCATTTTAGGAAGACCCGATCTCCAGCCTATTGATCTTCTTGACCTTCCAATTGTTGATGAACCTTTTTGTTTCTGGGGTGTTTACCTAGGTGTTATACTCAAGAACGACCCAGACCTGGTCGAGGGTGTTTATGTTAGTTCCAGTCTGGGGTATAAAGGATATCTTGGGATCTCCGGTCGTGTCGCGATTCACCGAAGGTTCTCGTTAAGAACCTATAACGAGCTACCAAGGGATGTGAAGTGTCACCATTGCAGTGTCGCCTGTAGGGATGATGTTACTCCTCACTTCCGAACAGTATCCTTATTTGAAGTGATCCGAGGCAACACAGTTGCAACTATTGTTGCTGAGCAAGTGCTCATGGGCCTACCCAAACCAGCTCCAACTCTCTCAAGAAAGCAGACATGGAATACCAGGTCTTCCTGATTTTACTGATGTCGGTCTGAATAGGGCTCTTCCCTTGGCCTAGAATCAGCATTGGTTACCTTGAAAGAAGACCGTGTATCAAGAGTGGTTAAAAGAAAAAAAACCAGGAGGACCACTGTTTTAACTGCAGGCGCCCATTCACCAATCTACCAGATGACACGAGATAGAAAGGCTTTTGTGAAGCTAGACGCTGCGCTGCCTGTTGGCTGTATCGATACAAGCACAAGGAGGAGAAGTACCCAGATCTCATTACTGATGCAAGGATGCATGAGGTCTGGGTTGGCTGGGGCAACCCTGATGTATGTGGAAACCCAGCCTGTCAAGAACCACGAACTCCAGCAAATGCGCAGACATTTCGTTTCTGGGGCCAGGATATGCGCTGCCCGGGCTGCTACCTGCACTTAAGGAAGAACGGTGAGGACAAGAAGAACCCGAAGTATGGACAGAGTACAGCTTTACACCAGAAATAGGCAGATAAAGGACACAACGATGTCTATGGGACATGTCGTGCCTCTAGACCGATCGATAGCCACCTTCTTAAATGGAAAAGCTAGAAGTCAATATTAGCAGCCGACGTTGAAAATCCTACCCAACTTTCCATAACTCTTCTAAATATTCCACTAAAATATACTGAAATTACGTAAATGGTTTTATTGTTTAGGATTCAGTCCTAAGTTCTCTGCAATCACCTAGACCAACGCGTATAAGAGGGGGGATACCTCACACTTGGCAGTTGCTGCGACACATCAAGAAACCCGTAACAAGTTTATTCATGGATGTATCCTATATAGCCTTGATAACCTGAGAAATATACCGAAGTATTGTAATCGAATATCTGTAGGTGTTCCCCTCAGGTCTTACTCATCAACTCGTTTGCTCCCCAAAGGAGCCTCTTCATCAGCAGTTGCACCAGCATGGCCCTCAGGGAGGGCATTGAGATCATCCTCATGAATGTCGAGGTCCTTGAATTGCAGCCAGAAGCATGTACCGGCTATGACGGCAAGGATGGCGACGACACCGTAGTTCCAAACAAGAAGAGGGTCGGCCGCAAGACCAACGAGAGCCTGGCCGAGGGCAGCCGAGAAAGCTGTCATGAAAAGCGCCACGGCCTGGACCATAGACCGCATGTTCTTGGGAGCCTTTGAGAAGGCATACTCAAGAGAAGTAATAGAAGCGAACACTTCAGAGAGAGCAATGAGAACATAACTACCGGTTTGAGCCCAGACGTTGATCGGGGCTTCTGCACATTTGACCATTTCACCTTCTGCCTCACTCCAGATATCACCTGAAGCATACATGTCACACTCGGATTTCTGGTAGATGTAGTGCTGGACAACAGCTGCCCAGATCATGGCAGCAGCTCCGGTGAAGAAGCCAGCTGTGATCTTCTTGATGGGAGTAAAGCGAATACCGGCCTTTCTGAGAGCAGGATAGATGAAGAAGTCGTTAAGGGGGATGAAGATCAAGAGAGCAAAGGGGTTGAGGTTAGAAAGAATGTCGTTGGGAACGCCGTGGCGCTGCATTACGGCGGCCTGGGAGATAAGGTTGTTATTGACTAGTGACTGTTAGCTCAGTTGTACTTTACGTATAATTTTCGAATTGATGGTGTATGTAAGAGTTCAGAGCAATCTGGTAACAGAAGTGGAGGTAAGGAAGGGAACATACTCTGATTATAGCAAAGCCAGAAGATGGGATACCAGCAGAATACAGCACAAGCGTTGAATCCTCGGCTGAGCTCATCGACCCAGGCATCGTCAAAGGTCATCCATTTAGGGCGGTTCTGGTGGCTAAAATTTGAGGGCTTGACTCTCTCCCAAAAGTCATCTCGGTGAAGGTTCTTCCAGGTTGCAAACGGGTTGATGCTCCAGCAACCCTCTTGGGCCAGAAACCAGGTCTTCAAAGCAGGTTCAAGAACGGATCCCGCAGGGGGGCGCCGCTCATAATTGTGACGATTTAACCACATCACGAGCGGACACAAACAGAGCATGAATGTTGGGAGCGTATAAGACAACCAAAACCCGACATATTTCTCTGCGAAGACCATCTACTGACTGATTAGACTTGTTACTTATGATAGGAATAGGCGTCGGGGTTCGAGTGGCGAATGAAGCTATTCTGAGGTGGCTGGCTGGTGTTGCGCCCAGACAACCCCTGAATGCTTTTCTACACGAACTGCCCTTCGATTGAAAAGAAACACTCACAGTAACTTGCCCGACCAAAGCCCCTACATTGATTGCCCAGTAAAACCCTGGAGTATATTAGCTATGAAGTGTTGATCGTCTGGAGAACACTTACACATGTAAACCCGTTCGATGGTCACAGCCGGGTCAACGACAACGCGTTCGCCAGACTTGAGAGTCTTGACATGCATATACTGCTCGCCGAGCTGCTCAACAATAAGAGGATTAACGTTAGGTTTGAAACCGCCAGTACCGAATCCAATGACAATGATAGCAATGATCATGGCGCCAAGGGCGCCACCTTGGTTAGAGATAACAGGGGGGATAGCGGACATTATGAGTATGATGTGTCCAATAATGTCGATTCCGAGGGCCCAGCTAATGGTTTTATAACGGCCCCAGTACTGGTCAGCAACATAGGCACCGAGGAGGGGCATAAAGTATTGCCAGAACTGGTTGAAGGTGGTGATTCCGGTCGAGGCGCGCTGGCCCATATCGAGAGCACCAGGCTGGTCAGGGTCAGCCCCAGTGGTAGAGCCATCGGGGAGCTTGTGCTGAATGAAATTGGTGACTTAACAAGTCAACACGCCTGAACTTATGTTATTGAGGCTGAGTAAAAACTTACAAACAACCGTGGAGCCGTAATATGAGAAGCGCTCACATAACTCGATAAAGGCGATACTGAACAACTTTAGGGGGATCTTGTTCGGGACTCGACGCAAAGTGTCTAGTTCCTCAGCAGTCGGGAACTGACCATCTGGCGTGACACCACTAGCGGGGACAACAGCTCCCGCATCTGCAGTGGCTGGACGAGGGTCGGTGGCGATAGAGGCCCTCTTCTCAGCAGAGATAGAAGCTCGTTTCTCGTCAAGGACTTCAGCTCGGAGACCGGCCACCGTAATGGGCTCGGCGAGACTGTCTCCTGCAGGTGCCATCGTCGTATGTGTGCGAATCTTTGGGACAGAATGAGACAAGATAGAGATCGATACAGCAGCAATCTACCATATAATAGCAAGAGGATTCCGTTACGGGGAGAGACGTTTTATATATTTTGGAGTGTCGGACAACGCTGCCATAATGGACCTTGTACACCGGATAGCACCGAGTACGATCGGCATCGAATAAGAAGCCAGAGGGAGGCAATTGGACAAAGCCAAGACGCCAGATTTGACGAAAAAACGCGAGATATGCATCTTGAAAGTCAGGAGGACGTATCAACTGCAAGGATGCAGTGAAAGAAGAAGGTCGTAATTGCTACCTACTATAAAAGGCTTGATACCAGGAGCCTCACGACAAGGGTGGATTCCTTCTCATCCTGCCAAGATATCTCATGCAGTTTGATAGTCGAGACAGGATTCTACGGTCATCAAGGAAGTCATGTGCATACTGTTGGTTGGGCATCTTATACCACTGTATGTACAATCTTGACGGTCCATGTTAGGATGATGTTGAACTTTTGCAGTATACTAGTCTCACATCTACTTGGCAAAGACAAAAAAGTTCTTAGTAACGTCTGTTAGCTTGCCAATGTTGGCCAATGTTCGGGAAATTTATTTCTGCATCTGGGCGATATGGTCTGTGTGAGACTTGAGGACGCCATCCAAGGATGGACATAGGCTAGTATTCTGAAGTTCTACAGTCGCGATATTGCATCAATGAAACCACAAAGAGCTGTGCGACCTTCATCTCTGGTCGTGAGAGTCTTTTTGATAAGGACCAGAGTATCGAGGTATTGATGCCTTCGACTTGGCAAACCGTATAGTCCTTATCTGTGGGATCCAAGTTAGGATATGACTCCGGCAATGCGACACAAAGGTTACGGAGCTAAACTCAGTATGTATCTGAAGTAGTCAAAACGTTCCTGATTAGCCAGTCTGCAGCCATCCCGTGATAACGAGGATGCCAAGACAGACACTTGAGGGTGCTGGGTGCTGGTGGTTGTTGCTGGATCTTGGCATAAGAAGATCCATGGAACGTTAAGAACTTTTGTTAGTCTGGGCATGATAAATGGAGAATAGATAAGTAGGGATGGCATTGGATTCCCGTGTTGCAGTCGGTTTAAGGTTGTCTGGTCGGCCATGATAAGGGTTCGTACCAATGGGATACGAAAATTACTCCAGGGCACAGTACTGAGCTGTGACTTACATAGTATAACCAAATGATTTACTACCTAGTCGGTAGTTTTTTTTGGCTTCATGCTACTAGGTGGTGACAGGATTTTCCTCGGAGGCTCGAAGGACCACTGTACCCCCAGCCAGTACCGTTGGATCAAGAGATCCCTTGATGTATTCAATGCCATTTTCTTGTCTGTCACCAAGAACATCTGCCGCATTATCCACCAGACCACCACACGAGACCACCTCCAGCTTCTCTGTTCTGTAGACTGCCACCTTCCTTTTCCCGCCTAATCGCCCCGCACTACAATAATCCTTGAATGCAGCTTAATTTAAGCTTCTTTCAACGAGCAATGATCCGCAGCAATTCGATTGGACAGGATCAGTATACTCATCCATATAGAACTCTCTGATTGCCAAGTCGCCACTTCTGACAACATGTTCAATGGGACAGCCCAGAGTAGAACGTTATTTAGCAAATGTAATTTGCTTAATATGGCAGTTGTGATAAAGAAAACATGGTCAAGCGGATATCATCGGATAATTGATGTATCAACAGCCTGATTTGTTATAACACAACAGCGGTTGGTTCTGGCAGCTTCGTCGCAGTTACAGTACAGTACTCCCGAATTATGGTAAATATCATGAACCCCAAACATGCGCATAATGCCAGGTTCGGTAGTCAGAAGTAGATGTACTAGATGTGACATCTCTTTGGTATAGTCCCCGGTATGCCCCTTGAAGAATGATCCCGCGAAATCAGCGGTTTCAAGCTTCCAGCACAAGGTGACTGCCTACCGTTTCTCGAGCTGTTTGTGTCCAAAGAGGTCTGATCTACCCAATACTTCATGCTTCGAAGAATATCACCACTTCTCCAGGGATCTTACGTTTTTGCCATTATACATCAACATGTCGTTTTGCATCAACGACATGATCTCTTTGTCGAAGTCTAGCTGTAAGCTGTTTTCTATTCCTCCTCTTTTTCGGTAGTAACCGACAAGTATGACGTTTGATATAGTCGTAATTCCATCGCAGAATTCAGGCTCGGGGACCAACAGCAAGTCTTGCAATAACACAATTCGCCTTACCGAACAGCGAGCCTCGGACTCACGGAGTCACGGAGTCAACCACAAGGCTATTTGTCCGCGATATTTCCATATCAAGACAAGGTGAGATATAGCATAAAGTGTATATCTATGTATTGGTATAGAGCCAACATGTTGTAGCATTACTGACAATAAGTGAAGTGATTACTTCTTGCCTTGGAGTTCTGTTGGCGCAAACTGATTTGCCTGAGGATGACACTATGAACTTGATGAGGATATCCATCGACTAACTCTTTGACGACCCGGGAAACGACTTCATATGATGAACAACGAAGAAGAGATAACACATCCGAACAATAATACAACAACGGATAATGGCCCACCAGACTACGTCAATTTGTTGGCAAGCCCTCAATGATCATGCCGCAGTTCACAGCGAGATCCCAACTGACAAAAAAGTCGACACTGTACTCCAAACGGGTATCTTCTTTTGATAATGCCAAATAGTAGGCGAGCCTAAGCGACACAGCCGACAATCTTATTTTACCCATAGCTATGGTCCCAGATCCACCAACTTATTCAACGACTTGAAACTCTGAATATCACAAAGGTCTTCTTCCCAACGTTCTCTAGGCTGTGAAAGGGATTTTCGGAAGGCCAGGCCTCAGCCAGTCGATCTTCTCAACGTACCGTTCATCAATGAAAGCTTCTGTTTCTGGGGTATGTATAATCGTATATTGATGTTAGTATCTGAGATGATCCAGAACGAACTGTGAGTTTTGCACACGTTATACAAACCACTTGCACAGCAGTCGATCGCATAATCGAGAATGATATTCGAAACGATTTTAGGATCCTAGCATGAATCCATTCTAACTGGTATCTTTCCGAGTAGAAAAGTCTAATGATACAGCCGCGATAAAAGCCCCTTTTGAATATCCAAGTCTATTGCATTTATTTTAAGCTCCCGAATTGGCAAACACACAATTGCCTTTGATCTGAAGGCCACTCCATTTTCACAAGACCCAAGCATTTCTTTACAGCTTGCCCTTGAGCAAGTTGTTGATCATCTCGCGACCAGTGATGCGAGTGGTGTCCCAGAGAGTAGGGAAGTCGAGAGTGCTGGAAAGGCCGTCGGCAAAGCCAAAGAAGAGCATGGGAGGGATCCAGCCTCGAGCGTACTCGAGCGCAAAGCATCCCTCGGGCATCTTGTACTGCTTGACATCGCCGCGGCGAAGGTGGTGGATGCTGCCGGCGGGGTACACCTCGGCCTTGTACTCGCCAGGCACGTAAGCCAGCTGAGTTCCAGAAAGGATGTGGAAGTAGTCGTCGGCGGTGTGGCGACCAGTGTGGCCCTCGGTACCGATGGCAGTGCCTTTTGACATAATGTTAGCGATTGATATGCAATTGCAGCAGACGAACATACCAAAGATGATGAGGTACTCGGTCACACTGGCGTGGATGATGTACATGGCACCCATAGCACCACCAGCGTTGTTAAAGACCCATTCCTCCTGGAGGTTGATGTGCTCGGGAACCTTCTCGTTAAGCTCCGTAACGATGTACTGCACAACCGATCGGGTGTCCTCTCCGTGTTTCGCGATGGCTCGCTTAGAAAGATCGTCGAGGTGATCGAGGTCGAAGATGTAGAACTGGTTAAGGTTCTGCTCGACAAAGTAGACGACAGTGCTTAGGAGAGCTGTGAGGAGACCGAGAACCAGGAGGAGCTTGTTGAGGCCGCTGCCCTGCGACGCGGCGGTCGCAGAGGACTTTGACTTTGACTTGTTCTTTGCCATTGTGTTGACCGACCAAGGTGAACAAGTAGAAGGGAACAAGTCGTCGCAAATCAATCGCGTGAAGAAGGGGGCTATTAGTTCACAGTTTCTGTTGAGCCCCGGAAATTAACTTAATAAGCCGTTCTGAGCTGGACCCTGGAGCCGCCCGGCCCCGGGATTAGCCCATCAGCATCTTGACCGTTCCGCATCACGTTTCCGACCGCAATTTTCTAACCATGTGAAATTTGTCTGCGCTCATAGGTTCGTTTTCGTATTTGTATTCGCGATTATAAATATCTCCAGCCTCGTCAAATATGTATTAATCTATTGGCTATCTTTGCAAAACATCAAAGAGAATAGCATTGCTTTTCCCCATTGTTCCTCATCGCAACCTCTGTGTATGCGTGGTTCTTTCAACGCCGTACAATTACACCTTAAAACTGGGGGAGAAATAGCAAAGAAAACCAACTCCAATCCCAATCCCAATCCCGCCGCGATAGCTTCTGTAAATCGCTAAACATTCCTTCATGCCTTCCAAGTAGAGTTACACATGCCGTCTTCTTCTGGTTGGTTTCTAATCCACGTCTGAATCTCCCATGACCTCTGTTCTATCGGCATCATCTACGTCTTCGTCGTCGTGAAGAACTGTCTGATCTTCAATCTCGGCATCATCCATTGTAACGTCTCCCATGGTAATGTCGCCAGCCGTCATGTCTCCCACTGTGACATCTCCAAGTGTAACATCACCGTTAGCATCACCGTTCTGCTTATCCAGTTCGTCATCCAGATCAAGATCTGCATCATCCTCTTCCGGCTTCTTTGGTCTGGGTCGCTTGACTGGGGCAATGACACCAAGTTCTGATGATCGTGGTCCCCAACGAGCTAGACGTCTAGTCGCTCGTCTCAACGCCCCGGCGTAGGCACTAACTTCTTCGCCAAAGTCATCCTTCTCCTTCGTAAGAAGACAAAGTCCACCCACGCCCTTCTCTCTGAATGGCCCTGGAGTCTTATCTCCATATGTTAGGTTCCGAGGAGTTGATGTTTCATCATCGCTATCTTCGAAGGGATCTTCTTGGACCTGTAGTCTTTGATAGGCTCTGAAAACGGCGCCATCTTGTCGCCTGAGTTTTCGGCTCTTATGGTGTTGGCGTCGAAGACCACGGTCAAGAATGTACTCAACCCTTTGGCTCCTGTTTCGCTCAACGGCGAGTTGATGGGCTGTTGGTGGGCGGGGCTTTCTTGCAACAACACCCTCGTTGACAGTATGTGCCGGAGATGAGCCCTCGAAGATCTGATACTTGAGGGGTGCGCCTCTGCGATTCGAGGTAAGACCGCGACCAAGCCCTCTAGGAGGAGGTGTTGACCGTGTGCTATCCATGTCAGACTCGTGTTTCGAGGGCCTGATGCGGGGGAGGATGGCTGGACCCTCATCGGCGAAAGTCGGTCGCATTTTGCTTCTCTTGGTATCCCTTTCATTGAGGAGAGCTTGGTCCATTTCAAGAATCTTGGCCCTCATCTTCTGTTTGGAGCGTCCAAACTCAATCTCTTCTTCAGTGTCTACGTTCTCTTTTGCTTTCTCTTCTGGGGTCATCTCCACGAGCTCAGGCACACCCTGGTTTGCAACATCTAGCCCGTAGTCGACCCCAGGCCCGAAAGGATTCTCCTCGCAGCCTTCTTCCGTAAAATCAGATTCGAGATAGAACCACATAAGCCAGAGGAATGCATTCGCTCTCGACTTGCTCGTGTATTCGGTCCTCATGATCAAGTCATGAAGTTCGCGGTGGCGAGGAAAGTGAAGTTCGGCGATCTTCTGAGCAGTGTTACACATGACAAATATAAGATTGACAGGATTTGTGCGAGGAGTGTCCAACTGCTTAATTTTGTCGAGAGAGTTAGGTTCCTCTCGATCTTCTGCACCACCTTTTAGAATAGACTTAAGACGAGGTGCATCCTGAAGTTGCTTGTAGGCATGAGGATCCTGGCGAGCTTGAAGTGATGGGATAGCATGGTATGTACGGAGCTGGGCTCTCATCTCAGGAAAGACTGGAAATGTTAGCTGTAGTTTCAAGGGTGAAAAGATTGATCTTACAGTTCAGAGTGGTATTCATTCGGCCCATGTTGACAAGAAGACACACCATAGCCATTCCTTTTGCGGCTTCTCTATCACTTAGCAGTTTATCGCGAAGTACCTTGCTAGTCTTTGAGCTGCGGGACATTGTATCGATATACAGGTCGGCAAAGCATTGGCGCTGGAGTCGTTTGGGCTCATATGAATTGGTAAAAACACACTGTTCATTATCGAACACGGCCTTGAGGAAGTCATATTGGATGTCTTCTCTCCAGAGAGGCTCGCCATCTTCCTTCTTTAGATGGCGTATTTTGCCAATCGTCGGTTGATTTGCGGCGTCCTTATTTTGTGATGATTTCGTTTTACCTCGCGACGATTTTTCTTGAGGGTCGGGAGTGGCATTGGCCATCTGAGTATCGTCGTCCTCGGTCATGGCTCGTGAGACAAAGGACTTGGCTTCGGGCTGGCCGGGTGAGCTGGGAGGATCAACCTCAGACGTCGCGGCAAGAGACGCAGGTGACGCCATTGTAGGTGGTTGTGGTTTTTAACAAAAACGAGGGTATTCGCAAGGGGTCGCGAGAAATAGAGGTCCAAGTTCAAATCGTCTGGATTGATCAACGGCGCATCGCGAAAGGACAATTCGGCTGCACTATCAATGTTTGGCAGGGAGATGGAGGCGGGGATTGATTGATTGATGATGACTGTGCTGACAACCAGATTGCGCGCAGATTGTTTGCGGGTTGCGTATGCGACGGCGATGATAGTATCAGTGTTGGTGTTTTAGAATAAAATAGAACGAGTCAAGGTTCTAGAGTCTGTTGATACTGTAGGTTGGAAAGAAATGGAGATGGGAATGGAAGTGAGAAGCGAAGTTGCCAGTTCCTCTCCTCAGCCTTGTCCTTGTCTTGCGTTAGTTTGCCTGGGGCAGCAGAGACGCCCACGAGCCGGGAAGTTGCTGAGCGCGTCACGGTACATTACCACAGCCTAGGAGCCCGTCGTACCTGATTCACGACTAGGGACTCCGTACTTTAGTTAGGTCAGGCAGGGAGGTGTTTGGTGGAGCAAGGAGGCTGAAAGGGTTGTGGCTTGAAGTAATTTTGTGGCGTTGTTTCCTGTACTGTAAGCGTGGTCCGTGCTGGTCGCGCTGCAACGACCCGAGCTAACAAGCTGTAGCAGCGGCCTAGGCATTGTGTTTTCTAGCAGGGGATTGTACTCCCTCATCTCTTTACATCAACAAATCTCATAACAAAGGGAGCAACCAAGCTCACCACGGCTTCGGCCTTGACGATATACATACTAACCAACAGGGATATTGCCGACGGAAAAGACGATTTTTTAACAGTTTCAAGAAATCGCAGAGAACTGGCCAATCTTGCAGAGCGTTCAAGAGACTGGAGGACCTTCAACAAACAACAGAACCAAATTCAAAAGCACCATTGTCGGCACCAGTCCACGTCTTTTAAACTCCAGACACCCGACATGGCCACTCCCGTCAAAACGACTACCATTGGCGGTCCTCCAGTGACCGACAGCCCAGGTACATGGCGGCACCCTCGACTCAACGAGATCGCAAGGCGTCGTAATGCGACGACCTTCTCCGAGAAGAATGTGCACCAGATCGCCTATAACGTCCTTGCGCTACTAGCACTCTGGTCATTGCAGCTCTTAGCCAAGCTTTACATCGGCTCTGAAGTGTGAGTTATCGCGAAGGTCTTTTGCGACCGACCAGTCGTTAACTCCAGTCTTTAGTGTTCCTAGCTCTTTTAGGTTATACTTGAGCTGGGCATGGTTCGTCCTTAACCTCATACCATTTTTCAACATTGGTATCGCGTGTCTGCCCTTGATTCGACCGAAAGACGATCTCTCCGATATCCCTCTGACACCTGCTCAGCGCAAGCTGCTGGGCCTGGACCCTTCCTCGGCCGCCCCAACCCCCGACGCGAAGTTCAGCACACCTCCTCGATACTCTCGCACACCTTCCATAGGTGGCTCGGTTGGCAGCCGAGGAAGCTATGGCAGTTCGCCTCTTTCTGGGCGAGGAAGTCCTCTTGTCCAGGGAGCGGCTGGTTCACCGTTGGGCAGCCCTCTTTTCCAGAAGAGCATCAACAGTTTCGGCAATGGAAGAAGGTCTTCTTTTGGATCAACGAGCCCATTTGCAGCTAGCTCTTCCTCCAACCTCTTCTCAGATCCTACCTCTCCCGGTTCCGCTGGAGGCAAGCGAACAAGTGTCGGGTTGAACAGCAAGTGGTTATACGAGAAGGGACGACGACCGTCAGGCAATGCCTGGAACTTGTGATCCGGGGCTAAATAATGAAGGTAGACATTTTGGACAAGCATGTTTGTGATACAGGAAGGGTTCAAGCTATGTAAGCTTTGCTATTCGGCCGGGAGATACTTTGTCCAATGGACATGGAATTTGGCCTATTAGAAACCCCATGTTGATATTCTTGTGAAGAGTTCGCAGCGGGAGTCAGAAACCTCCTCAATACAAAACTAATGATTCAGATGCACTACCTGGCTGGCGATTCAAGAAGATCGCTGTTGAGATACCAAACTGAATATTCGATAAGCTCGAAATTGCACGATTGTCTCATGCCAACATGCGTGGAGGCAGATATTCTTGACAACAGAGCATTTCTTATGCTTCTGCAGCCGCATTCAACGCGCAGAGGAATTGACAAACATCCCATGCCAAATGTGTTCAGTGCATTCCAATTTTGACAACAGGGCGGCCCATGAAAGCGTGAGCTTCTGACTTGGCCGTGGTATCTTCTGCCTCGTCCATCGTGAGCAAAGTCAAATGACTTCGTATTCCATGCTGAACTACAAATTCATCATGTCTCTAGTCTCATCCATGCTACCGTGGACTGTTCCCTTGACGAAAATCTCTCTCAACATGAGATTCAGGGGTTCGAATTTGAGACCATGCTTAGGAAAGCCAGCAACATCTAATAATCCACTTGGTTGTAAGCGTTGAGTAACCCAGTCATTAGCAGCATCGTCGCTGGTGCATACAATAGTTGCTTTGAGACAAGTTCCGTCGGTAAAGTCGAAGATCTTCTGAATAGTTTCTCTGTCATCAAGCTTGAGTACGAGATCCGGTTGGAGGTGAGCGGGAACTCCAGAAGCGAGCTTCAAACCAACCTCATGGCTGTCTATGGCTATCAACATATAGCCTTGAGCCTTTGCAAATTAAGTCCCAAAATCCCCAGGCCACCTATACCGATGATGCCGATGCTCTCGCCCTTTGTTATATCTTATAACACAGGTAATAGAACACTTTCAACTCTGGGAAACACACCCGGGCACACATTAACGGGGCCGCCGGCTCAAAACCTATGGTGTCAGGCAAGGAAACCACAGCACCATGCCAGGAAGCCATGTATTCTGTAAAGGCCCTATCACGACGAATGATGTCACACATAGTCCTATCATCACAGAAACGTGAATCGAGCGATCCAAGACTCTGAATAGCCCGTTTGCGTCCGTTACAACCCTAGCAAGGATCCATAAAGTTTGTAGCTCTCACACGATCCCCTATATGTCATATCCCAGGTACATCAGAGCCAAGAGCAGCTATTGTTTCGGCTGGTTCATAAGATTCGATGAAAGATAATGGTACCTGGGTTATGCCATGATGAACCATGAGATTGGTGTGACAGAAGCCAGCTGCTGCTACATGGATGAGAACCTCATCGGGCTTTGGCTTTGGGACTGGGACTTCGTGGAGAAGGGTGAAGTTCTTATGAAGTTGAATACGTCAATGAGTGCAAAAAGCACAAGATCTAAGTAGACAATTTTACCCCAACCAGTCTTAATGCCTTCATTGTCTGAGGTACATTAACATGAGCTGTCATTTTTATATTATTCTTGATGAAAGGTAATGGATAACAATGGTTGCAGGAGAATAGTCGTGGTGTTCGAACCGCCAGACGAATTCTCCAGGTTAGGCGTAACCATGATATGACGGACAAATGAGAGTAGCTTACAAAAGGAGACAGAATCGGAACGGCGCAAATACATAAGATAGTAACTTACTTGATTCTCGCGCTGATATGTCTTGGCTCATCTTGATCAAGCCAGTCACCAATCTTCGTTATTTTGACTATTTCAATAATTCCTACGACGCATTGAACTTATATTGAGATTTCATTCATTGAATCAAGGAGTACCCAGAGCGACCATATGTACAATTATGTGGCCTGTTGCGTTTATAACTTCGTCATGAAGCCACTCTTCTCATCCTCAAAAATGTTGGTGAGTGTTCCAATATGAGGCAGAATCTCAACCGCAAATTCATCGCCGTGTCGGAGCGCATCTTTGGGGGTTCGACCCATTCCGACACCTGCGGGAGTGCCAGTGACAATGACAGTTCCCGGAGGAAGTGTGGTACCTTGAGACAGCCAGCTGATAATCTTAGGGACAGAAAAGATGAGGTCGCTGAGTAAAGTCAGTGGGGAAGTTCGCAGAAATGTGTGCGGTGCTACTTACTCAGTGCCGCTCTCCTGATACACTTTGCCGTTCTTTAACCCTCGCATGTGAAGCTTGGCAGGATCTGTAATAAGAGATTTGAGAACCAGTGTTGGGCCTATACAGGGAAATTGTTAGCTAAATCAACCATAACTTCAAATGAACTTACCTAGTGGGCAAGCCCCATCAAAGCTCTTTGAGAAGGACCATTGAGATTGGTTTAGCTGTTGAGTACGGCTGGAAACATCGTTGGCGGCAGTGTATCCAAGAACGTAGTCTAAAGCTTCGGCCTCGCTGACGTTCTTGGCCGTCTTGCCAATTACCACAGCCAATTCTGCCTCGTAATCACCAGACTCGTCCACCTGGCTCAGCTTGGGAATGGTCCCACGAGCTGGCCAAGGATCCACGATCGTTGTCGCTGGCTTCCTATCTACAGGTCAACTCAAAGCCTAATCTTGTGTGACTGATCAGCCAGACTTACATGAAGATGACCGGGATTGCTGGGGGATCAAGTCCACACTCCGCAGCGTGCTTTCTGTACTAATGCGAGTCAGATCCTGCGATTTCCAGAAGCAAGGTAGCTTGACATACATTCAAACCGACACACCGAATAGTACCGATCTCGTTCTGGGCAAGAGGGGACAGGATGCGGTCAATGGTTTCCGTAGTACCAGTCGAGGATCCTGGGGATAGGACTGATGAGCCCGACCAAACATTGACAGCAACCTCTTGACCCTTGCGTAAGGCAGCACCAACGTCAATATCTTTGTCTGCTGGCTGACCAATAAGGATCTTGGAAGGACTAGATCTTGGCACAAAGCGTACGAGACCTATAAGAGTTGTTAGGGTGATACTCCAACGAACTTAAGACGATCTGCTTACGCTGGAGGGCAGATGAGGCCATAATGTCTGTTCCGTAGGGCGTGGTTGGGAAAACACTTAAGATCAGAACAAACAAAGACAGGAACCAAGAGATCGAGACTTTGGGGTCTTTATAAATGGCGGACTTAAGTCTAGCGACATCGAATGAACAAGTATTATTAAGGCCGGCTTCGGCATGTTGATGTCCATGTAACAACGTGCGGGAACTGGGGGTCCCGGCGGGTAGACGCCGGACTGCTATCGGTTCGGGTAGAAGCCCCGGAGGGAACTACTTGGGAACTCAAAATATCCATGACTACGGAGTGCATAAATTGTATATATATCATTGCCCATTGGTATGTTGGCAGATAGTTAGGTAGGCAATTGGCAGTTTATAATGAAACGAAACAGAGGCTTTTAACAAGATATTGAATTTAATAAAGCAAACACTCTGTTTTATCCTCTATATATTTACTAGTCTTAAAAAGCAACTTACCTATATTAAGAAATGGAACATAATAACACAAGTGAGACCTCTAAATCTGATCGAGAGCAGCACTGTTTTAAACACTGCGGCCATGGATTACTTTGTTTAAGGGTCAAAAAGGATGTAAACCCGTAAGATACAGGGTGTAATGCGTGATCCGAGAATCGAACTCGGGACCCTCCCATGGGAGAGGAGGATTTTACCACTAAACTAATCACGCTTCTATTTATTAATAGATATGAGAGTTGGTAGCCTATCTAGGGAATGGATGCTGAGCTGTATCTCGTGTAACGAGAAATTGCCATCTGCCTACCTACTATGTTGGAGAGTTGAGACGGAGCAAACAGGTGATTGCGAGCTTCTTATATCAGTCGAAGCCGATAGGATCCGCCTATGACTTGCGTGAGATCGCTTTGTGGGGCAGAAACGAACCTTACTGCATTGGTTTTAACTCTCTTCCGACCCGACGCTGACTTTGGCTCAACATAATCAACATTATGGATCGAGGATCAAAGTACCGTGTTTTGCATGGAAGTTCGGTTTATAATTTAATCAGTTGCTATACGCAGGATGGATGAGCGACAGCATAACAGTCCAAGCTTTGGCATACCGGTACTGGACGTTGACACGGCACTAAAGAGGGCGAAGGCCAGCTGGGACTTACGCTGTCCACGTCTGGGAAGTTAATACGATGCCAGTAGACGATATATCCTGCAGTGGTGCAGCCTATGGCAATACCTATAAAGCTGGCCCAGAGTAGAGTTTGGATTCCAAGAGCGAGGTTCGTATGTGATTCTCACATCAAGGCAGGGAGAGAAAAGTCAGTCCATAGAGGGGTTCTATCGAGCCTGAGCTATTACGAAAGTGGACCTTTCCTGTGGACCACTGTTTCTGACGGAGCCCGGACAGGCTAACAGGGCAGCTTGAAGCTTCAGGTACGTACTGGCGCCAGATTGAGGTGGTCATGGCCAACTTGAACCCCTCCACCAACAGTCGCCCACCTGAGCTGCAACACCTCGCCTCAATATCGTTAGGTATTCTACGTCACTGCATAGTATATTTCCTTTGGTCACATTGCTACCAACCCGCAAAGCATTCCTCAAGTCACTCACCCTACAAACGCCTACCATGGCCAGCAAGGTTGACCGCATAGTTGCCCGGCTACAGGCTAAGATCGAAGAGGGCGATTATTACGAAGCTCAACAGCAGACCCGTGTCGCGGCATCTCGTTACATCAAGACCTCTAACTGGCCTGCCGCGATCGATATTCTCTCCAATGTATCCCAAGCTTTGCTGCGCGCGGGGCAGGGTGGTAGTGGAGGAGATCTGTGTGCTATGCTGGTTGACGTCTACAAACAGGCAGAACTCAAACCTGATGCTACCGCTAAGGGTAGACTATTAACTTGTCTGCGACTATTCGAGGCTGGCGAGCCTACGAGGAAGAAGTTTATCGGTGAAATCATTGGGTAAGTGCTGCATCTTTGTCTTGACGAGCTATCGCGAACGAGCCTACTGACATTACTGGGGAAAGTTGGTCAGCAAAATTTGGCGAATATCCAGCTGGAGATCCTGAGCTTCACCATGTCGCTGGGTCACTATATGCCGAGGAGCACGATACATACGAGGCCGAGAAACATTTGATATTGGGGACCAAGGACTCGCCCGAGATTCTGACAAAGATGGAATATAATTGGTACAAGGAGAGCGAGCCTCATCAAGCGGCTCTCTTCGCCGGCCGTGCAGTTCTCCCATATCTCCTCGTTGGCAATGTTCGTGCTGCCAATACCTGCTACCGACTCTTCACAAGTTCGCTCTCCAACGACAACCCGAACCTTGGTGTTCAAGACGTATCGAGCTCCGCTGGTGACATCCGCATCTTCCCAAGCCTGCCTCTACTCAACTTTCTTGGCTTTCTCCTTCTTGCTATCCAACGCGGCGCACCCGAACTCTACCGTGCTTTGGTGTCCAAGTATGCCACACAAATCAACGAGGCGGGATCATGGGCCGAGGCGCTTGAGATGGTTGGAGAGATGTACTTCGGCCTCTCCAAGCCTCGACAAAGCAACCCCCTTATGGATATGATGAGCGGTTTCTTTGGCGGTGGTGGCCAACCAGAAAAGCCAAAGCGTAAGCAGGTTACGCAACGGCAAGATGCCCCCGCAGCGGAAGGTCTGGACTAGATAATTTGATCTGTGGGGTTGGATGCTGGTATACCATATTGCCTTGAGAAAAACATAGACAGCAGGCGTTGGAAGGTAAATAAAAGACTGGGCTAACCACGGGGCTGTTCTTCTGGTTCAAACATCCAATTATCTTCAGCAAGGGCTGCCACTTTGGCTCGTAGACTTGCTCTCACAGCTTCAAGAAGTTCTGGTGCGGCGTTAATAAGATGAGAATAACAAAGCCAATACCATGTCGCACCTTCAGGTTGTTCCGTCATAGCATGACGATGCATTTGGTGATGCTTAACTGCTTCTGCCAGACGTTGTCTCTCCTCTACTCGCAATTTAGCATGGGTAGATCTCTAGTCCTCCGTATGTCTTACTCTCACACTCTTGCCTGTGATCTAGGGGCAACTCATCCTCGTCTTCCATCATCGGTGTCGGAGGGTCCCCGAGCTCAATTTCTCCGTGCTTATCGCGAACTACGATCTCAGATGTATCAGATAAAATATCGACGTCTGAATGTAGTGTTTCGGCAGACGTAGAGGTCGATCCAGCGGTAGGTCGCCGGGTCAACTGGCTTTGGAATAGATTACGACGAACGCCTCCTGAAGAGGCGCCGTTGCGAGAGCGGGGAACCCCCGTGCCATTCGTTGTTGTCCGTGTTCGATCTGCCATCGCAAATCTTCAATTTTGATGGTCGTGATATGAAAGAAATGTAACTATCCAAGAAATTGAAGGTGATCAAAAATTGGTAATGTAAAGGCAGATGTTATGTCACCTTCTATTGACTTTCTGTGGGGTGTCCTGGGGTGGTCTTTGTCTACCTAGTCACCTTAGCTGCTTCATGTTAGGCTTACCCCATCCTTCTCTTCTCTTCAGCCTGTCTACTAGCTAGGGCAGTTGCACAAGCACTTGTGCCTACCTACCTCCAATAAGCATGTCAAGAGCTCATTATCACTCGCACGGCTACCTACTGGCAATCAATAAGCTCCTCACTTCAGGTACCTTATATGCTGATATTCACGTAGTCTCATGCTTCTGGACACCCGCTGCCTCCCAACATCAAAAGACGGGATTGCATTCAACGTGTAATAGCCACCGTAACTCCGTCCTTACAAAGGTTAAATCTAAACCATTCTTATTCCAGAAAAAGGTATATACTCGACAAGTACTGATGATAGTCGAGTTGTGTTCAGGTATGTTGTCCCCAGTACCATTTGCCATGTGCTCCTAGATGTGGAACATCAGAAGGGCGACCATGTGCCATTGGTGCAATATGCCGTAAGCTCTGTCTCTTAATCGTACAGCTTGTCTTCATCTCCAAGAATGCAGCCTAGCCCGTCAATACGCCCCAGCATCACCCGAATTCGAAAGTTGTTCTGGTCGCGCTGCGGTATTCCTACAGGGAGAGGTTGTAGGAGTACTCGTCTTCCATGTTCTGGCTGATCCAAAGGACGACGGAGCTGTGCGGAATTAGTGAAAACAATCGATTTCCTGGGACATATTTCTCTTACCTAACTCCAACAAGAGCGTTACTGAGCACATTCTCAATTCCCATACCCAGAGCAGGCATAGCGACGCTGGGCACAATGAACTTGAGAACAAAGACGGTGACACCACCGGCCATTCCACCAGCGAGAGCAGCAAAACCCAAGAACAGGACCACGCGAGCCTTCCATGCTACCCCATTTCCGCTGTAGCTGAAGGAATCGGCGCTTAGGCGTTGCTTTTCGACCGAATTGATGATAAGCATGCCCAAGCTAGAGAAAATAAAGGGCAGCCAGTCAACAAACTTGACATGGATATCGGAGCCGTTGCGTGATGACTTGGACCAAACTGCGGAATCGAGCATGATGTAAAAGGCGATGGAGAACTAAAGTGCAGCAGGTGGTGAGCACCAAAACTATTGGCAAAGTCGCGCATGATGCGCTGAGAGAGCCATGTAACGAAAAAGAAATGCCAAATACTCGGGCAGGGGACAATTTTATAAATTCAACGTACAATAGCTCCGGCGCTGTAGACACCGGCATTTCGGGCCCAAACCGTGTTAAGCCACTCGGGCCGTCGAAACTTCCAAAGACGCTCTTCCTCCATGGCTACAATTTATGGACGTTGCGAAATGGTGGGTTCTTGTAGTGCAGTTGTCTGATGTTGCAGGATCGCTGATCGTTGACGAATGATAATGTTGACGATGCTTGGGACTGGAGGCTGACAATGACGAGGCTCACGCGTGGACGGGACCGGCCTTGCTTTAGCGCCATTTGAGATCACGTGATGCAACTCTGTCTGGAAGTGCGACTTCGTGAAGTGGGTCGTGGTCGTGGAGACATTTCGCGTGGCTGGGTGTCATAAACTGCAAAACACAAGAATCCACTAGCGGAGACGCAAAAGATCCCCGTTGTAGAGAGCCATGTCACATTGATTACCCCGCTGGTCGGTGCGATGCTCGCTCCGCTCGCGCAGGACCCTGAAAACAATGGAGTTGAGTTGAGTTGCGGATAGTGACAAGTACAGTATCACCATAGGGCATGTACCTACTAACACAAGGTCTTGTAAGCTCCAGTTTCGCTTCGTACCTGATAGATATTCAGGGCAAGGGCATACATATGTGTAAGGGATCGAAATATGGTGATGTGGCGCATATGATATTGATCAAGGCAAAACTCTATTCAGATAAACATTGCAGGGAGCAGTATCCTCGCCGTTGAAACAGTTTTCTTTGCATACCGTTTCAACGGTGTCCAACGGTTCGGATACAACATCTCTATCTGCAAGATAATGCATCAAGAAGGGTAGCGACAGGAAGCCACATTAACGATGCCCAACCGTCGCGGACTGGGCATACAACTAGGTAGGTAAGTATTCGTCAAACGTAACAGGGTATTGAAATCAATCGTGCCTGTTACGTTCATGGCTGGACAACAAGAGATGCTGGGTACTATACCTATCATGTATTTGTGAACGTACGCACCATGCTTCATGGAGCAACCATTATTATTAGGTAGACTAGGCTCTCAGGGACAACACCAAGCGCCATCGAGGTTCGTAGGCCAAAATAGCCAGTCAATGGGGATTCCGAGCTGACCACCATACTTGCGTGGCGGAGAGCCGTGTCTGTCAAGTTTCACCAAATGAATCCAGAGTGTTGATAGCCGCTGTACTCCGTACATTCAAAACTAATTGCCGCATTAGCCTCTCTTAATCAAGACCACGGTTTCTCCTGATATTTGCAGTTTGCTAATGTTTTTTTAGACAGACGCTATCGAACATGGGCGAATAAGATCCTCCCAGCAACACCTGGTCTAGACCTATTCGATCTTAAACACCAGATTCACCATTCTCCTTTTTACTGGCCTGCCCTTCGCAAACACCTGGCCCACGCATTGACAGGCAGGCATTAGGAAGGTGCAGCAAGCCCAGTCCCTGCCCGCCTCTGCCTCTGTCGTGCGACCCCGTCTTTTCAGTCCCTTCCCCGTCCCATCGCTTCAACCCGATCTTCACTCTATCATACAATTGCTAACGCGATTTTTGGTAGTGCGTCGCCCACTCGCTTGGTTACGCACACTCACTCGCTCACCTATGCAGCTATTACATTCTTTATTTCTTTCTTAGTTCCTATTGTATTGCTTCGTTCGAGTTGCAGGTGGCCGGCACAGTTAACTTGACTAATTACCCATCTCTCGCTTGCAGTCTTCACTCCGCTCGCCCCCTTGCCAGGACAATAGACGCGGTATATCCCTTCAGACGTCCACATAACTATCGAGCAATAAGTCGCCTCCTGCTTCCAGGTTCTAGAAGAAAAACACGCCTGTTTTTCTACGCGCTATTTCATAACCGGAGCACAAGTCTGCTAAATCAAGTCAACCTCCCCTTTTGGCATTCCTAACCGCCGTCGACATACGCAACTTATCTCACCCGTTCTTGATCGATCGCAAACCAAATTTTCACACAGTCCTTCGGTGGTCCCTAGGGCCTGTCTCACGAGAGATCTTTCTCTAGCAATACTTGATATCGATCTCAAGGACGTATCTTGTTTGGACAACCATTCTTAGAGATAGCCGTTTGAGACGACTAGTTCATCATGAGACCGGTCAACTACCTACCGAGACCCGACCTTTTGGTCTCGGTGTTTGCCTCCGTTTCACTATACGGTGGCCTGGCTATGGCCCAAGATACCAAGGACGACCCAAAGAATAATGACCCATCTGCTGTTCCTGAGGCGGCCGATTCGAAGAATAGCGATGCCAATAAACCCACCAATACAGCCGCTGAGTCTGCCAAAGAGAGCAGTGACGGCAACAAAGCTGAGCCAGCTAGTACTGAGACGAAGGACAACGCGAAACCTGCATCAACGAAAGACGAGCAGCCTTCGAACACGGCGGGAAAAGAAGAGTCCAAGTCTACTGCGAAAGATGATCAGGCCAGTACTGCGACAGGAGAGGGCCCAACCAAAACCAAAGACGTTCAGTCCACGATCACATCCATCGTCTCTTCTGGTACGGAAGAGGCAATGCCTACCTTGACAAGATACAAGCCAATTCCCACTTATCCAGCTGCTTCTGTTCCCCCTACTAACAACGCTCCTTTCATGCGGCACTCGAGTGCCCCTGACGGCACCGTGTTTATTGCAGTTGGTGCTATCCTTGGCGCTCTTGGGCTCGCCATCCTACTTTGGCGTCTTATTGTTGGCATCCTCCTCCATCGGTCTGTTGAGCGAGCAGCCAAGGCCCAACATGACGAGAACGCAAAGACTGGCTTTCCTGCACCCCCTGCACCGTTCTACAAATATACTGATACTGGATCGACAATGTCTCTCTCTGCTGGTCGCGGCGTGCGACGAACCACTCGTGGACCTGTTCTATCATCAACCCCTAGCGCCTCCAATCTGTTCTTCTCCCCGACTGCTGCAGCATCAGGCAATGGGGCTGGCAATCGTGGCTCTGCATTTTTACCATCTGGTTTTTATGCGGCTGGCACGAGCTCTCCCGGTGGCCACCATGAGAATAACATCAGCATGACCAACTTACGCCCTGATTCACGCGGTCACTTTGGCACTCCTTCACGACATACCTTGAATCCAAGCCCTCCAGATTCACCTTCATTCCAAGGCCGAAGGGATATCAGCAATTCGACACTCAATCTCAATCGACCCTCAAGCCAACGTGCCCCTAGTGCGTTCCTCGAAGATCTCCTCGCTGACGATCCTTCGAGTCTTCCGCCTCCACATATACCTGCCTCGACCGCCAGGCGCTCGTCGTATGGCAGTGGCTCTACTGGCGCGCACAACCGAATCTAAATCGGTATCAAGCGACTTCTATCATGGGAAACTTTACATGCGAGCGATAACATGCTTAAGCGTCCTTGTTACCAGAGAAAAATTCGGTGTTATAGGAGGGGGATCACTTTTGAATCATTTTACAACAGCGGCGTCAAGAGAGTGGCATTTTTCTCATCTGGATTTGGCTTGTGGATAATTCGATACTTAGTCATGAGAGGACACAGGTGTCATGATCCTCGGTTAATGTGTACGTGGGTGTTATGAGTAGAACTTTGGGTTATTGTCGACGATGCAATAGTTCAGCCTGGCTGTAGGCAATGGTGTAGCTTTAAGCCTTAAGCCCTGACCACGTCCGCTATCAGACCACCAAAGTACTACTCTATGTCTGGATAATTTGGGGGAGTTAACGGTTTTGATCATACTCCAGAAATATCTTCTGGCTTTCTTCGTACATAGTCCTCTTCAACATGATATATTCATCTCCATCTGTCTTTCTTTGATCAATGACAGCCAATTGTGGGAGACTACCATGGATTTGATAGGTGGCGTACAACAATCGTGGAAGTTACGTTGTCAAAGAGAGACGTTGAACAAGCGCAATGTCACCATTTTACAATACTTGTCTCATCATCGAACAACTACCTATACAGGTTTGCTCCCACGATTGAGCGAAGTTAGACTTGTTGCAATCAAACTCAGTAGTTGACAATGCAACATGACTTTAAGAATGTGATAAACCCCTCCTGTATTTCACAGGGAGAGGTTACAGACAAGGCACGCCAGGACTTTGAACTGGCTGTACTCATATTACGCCGTATGCCGTATGTCAACGATAGGCTGTTCATATGCTCATCATCGTATACTCTATTGCGTTCTTCGCCCTGTACCACATGAAGCCCCATTCCTGACATTGCGCTTTAGCCGACTCCATGCTCCATGGCTGTTGGTCCCACAAGATGTATCGTTCTTCATTATGCATCAATAAGTTATTTCATCCTCGAATCCTGCCCTGCCTGCGCCTTGGCTAACCGAGAGGCCCAGACAATCTAAGCTCGGGAGGTCGTTGTAGCTCTTTCTCCTCAGTTATTATCTTTCAGCTGTTCTTTGTTGCCATGCCCTTCCAGAGACCGTCTTTCCGAATGCTCATCAACAGGTACGCTTAAACCGAATCACGGTTGTCGTACTGGGGTTGCTTCGGCTTTGATTGCTCCTTTTCTTTTCGTTCTTCCTCTTCCTGCTGTCGTTCTAGCTCCTCAATCTCTTTGACAGTCTGTTTGCTTGACTCGACATCCTCTTCCGCCTCTGCCAATAGCAATCTTACTCTCTCGATCCTCGTCATGGCCCCTTCTAGTTTATCGAGACGTCTTCGTTTCTCTTGATCTCGTCGCTCCAGCTCATCCACGCGCTGTTCTAGCTTTGCCCGTGCACGCCTCTCCTCGGCGACCATTTCATTTGCCTGCTCGAAGAGGGCAGCGCTAAGCTCCTCAACCTCCTGGCTTGTAGCTGCAACTTTCCCTTCGGCTTCCTTACGCAAGGATTGCTCTCGATTGAGAGCCTCCAGAAGATCTTCGGCTGATGGGGATGGCGGGGGTTGCAACTGTTGTGGGCGGTGCGATTGGCTGCTTATGGAACGCTGGTTGGAGGGCCGGGAGGGGTTTGTGTCGATATGGGGAAGTTCGTGTGACTTGCGCGGGGAGAGGAAAGACGATAGCCGACTGGTGCCGCTTTGTAGGAATGACATGCGAGGGTTTGTAGGCGTCGCAGGGAGTTGCTTCTGAGTTGGCGACGAGGGTAGCTGGGCGCGCAAGTTGGCAAGTTCATCTTCGTAATCGGCCCAGCGATCGACGGCAGCAGTGGCCTTCTCATTAAGAAGACGGACCTGGTTTTCGAGATCTTCGATACGGGCCTGGGCCTCGAGTAGTTGAACTTGGCTGTGATCGAGAGGTAATGAGTAGCCACAGCCCGGGCAGCACGGCGTAGAATCAGCAGAGAGAGTGGGCGCCGCCATGGTCATGACCATTGTCGTTGACATGACCGGCACATATATGATGTTGTATGTGAGCCGCCGGCGGTTACTGAAGATGCAGGGAGGATGCTAGGAGAGGCTTGTAGATGCGATAAACTATACGGATACAATCACTGAGAATAAGCCAGCGAAGCAATTATGGCCACCAAGGGATACATATAAAAAGTCGTGGGTGTTGTTTCAAGAAGAAAGGTTTCAATGAGTACAGGGATAGTCAGCCCAAGTGTCCCTATTTTTGTCGCTGAACCGAATGCGGGCAGTGGCTTTGGCGCCTTGGACACGCGATAGCTTGAGGGGCGGGGAGGTGCTTGGGCGGCTGAGCAGGCGATTTCAGTGGCGCGTGTCTTGGTGATCAGGGTCCAGTCGTGGCAGGGTATGTATTTTAGACTACGAAACAAATGGCGTTTCTTATATACCCACGCATGTTACAGTAGTTAATCGAGATGCTGGGAGTTGACGTTATTTACGTTTTTTCCATTCATGCACCAAGACCAGGCAGTTGATTTCCCAATCTGTCTTGTTTACCTAGCCTCGGGGGGCAAGAAAACAACGGAGCTTGATATGGGGTGTCAAAATAAACTCAGTAAAAGTCATCCTAAGCTTAGGCTAAAGTTACCTAAATCTTTTTGTCATTCAGGATTGAGGTACTGAGTTTTCTTTCCTCCCCTAGCCTATATAGTCGTTTATTCCACTAATGGAGCATAGACATAAACAGTCAAGTGTTAAAGAACAACGAACAATATTTCATGACTCAATCCCGTATCAGATTGGTGTTGGAATGAATAAACAGGGTCACGTCACGTCACTATATCTGATAATGTTACATCCCATGCAATAACTCTGGGAATACGCTTCTCAGGTGGTATGAGCTTTAAATCATGTTGGTAAGTTGATTCTGGGGCAGACCCAACTCATTATCGCCCGGCGGTCCTGGGCTCAATTCTCGTCGTTGTGTTTCTTCCTCGACTATCCCAAGCCCCGTCTCTCTTCTCAAATTTGAGCGACAAGCCCAGCCAGACGAATTGGCATTTATTTGAGAAGCCTCGCGCCATGAAATCGCGACCGAAAACCATTGTATGAATGGAATCCTGTGGCTAGAATGACGAATACGTGCCTTACCCCCTGTAAAATATAGGGTTTGCGTGTGCACTTGTTCCACGGCGGATAGGTCTCCTAACCATGTTATTCTGAAACAAGCGATGTCGGGTGTCCTTGTTGTATCAGGACAGCTCTCAAACGAAACTGCAAACTCAGCTTGGCTTTGCGACCTTTCGAAGCTCGCAAATGCCTGTCTCGGGATCTCTATATTCTTTCCAACTGATAGGGACCATATCATTGCCCGCCTCACTCGTAGCCATAACAACGCCCAGTTCGTTCGAAGCCGTCGATAGGTAGTAGTTGGCCTGATCTCCGAGAGATATCTGGCATAGATATGTCAACACTACCACTCTATAAGAAGGAAAGGGGAAACTCACAACTTGCGCGCGGACGATATCGCCTGGCTTAAAAGACTCGTAAATCTTGACCTTATCCTTTTCTGTTGCCCTTACGTCTTGCACTCTGATCACACCCTGCCACTCTGTCTGCAAAACTGTGTCGCCAACTTGCTGAATCACCACAATCGCTTGCTTTGGCATCAGGCGCAGGACTCGCGCAAGGACAATATTCTCGACGTCGGGTAGTATCTCGCGCTTGTGGCCGTGGCGGGCAACGGAGATGGTAGCCAGCTCCTCTGTCGTAGGTGCAGTGATCTTGTTTAGACGCTTTTGAGGGCCGGGAGTCTTTGTCGGGGGTGTCACAGTGACTCGGCCAAGCAGAGAAGAAACAACATTGCCTTCGTAAACATGTGTACCGGCCCCCGGCGCATATTTAGTGACCGGGCCTAGGACATTGCCGGGCAAGGCAACGGAGGGAATGTCGTCGACAGCCATAACCCTCGAGGCTCGATTTAGGTGCTTAGGTGAGCTTGCGGTGAAGGGTGTGAGGGGTTTGCTTTATTCAGCTCCCGCGCGTATGAATATGCTTATTCACCGGAAGTCGTCAGCTCAATCTTGCGGAATATCGGAGTTGGGTTTTGGATGACGAAAGCTCAATTCAGCCTTGCAGTCTCATTGCATCCAGACTTTGCTGTCCAAATCCAATCGGCACGGCTTTCAATTGCGGGGCCGACATTGGAGCTGTGTGTATTATGTAAGCGCCAATATGGTGCTTAAGTCCCTGCCGACTAACTCCGTTCTACACATACAGAGTCCGCCGAATCGGAGCCGGGCTTTCATTCAAGAACACTATTCGACGACGAGTCTATCGGATCTTAGTGTTCCTCCTCGCTTACACGATACAATGCAGTAGTCCGGCTACTAAGACCTGCATGGGCGGGGAAGCGGTAAGTTGTTTTTGGCATGGAGGGATAGGCTTCGTCATGGAAGCAGGACAAGGCCAATGCTGAGCTACCATACCTCGGATTCGAGGTCACCGGACCAGAGAGCCGTTATGCTGTGCATGGCATGATGAGGAGGTTATGCTGAGTGACTGCCCAGACTGCTCAGAGACTCTGTTGCTAAGTCGGTCATCAACTCATCTCGAAAGAGCTGGTCTCGATTCCATCCATGGTTTTGGGTACGGTCACAACGTATGTACCATGCATCGACCACGCTGAGCAACCAATCACCAATGTCGAAGGATTCAGCTTGTAGAGTTCGACTTGTTCAACCGTCAGTGCTGGACAGCCTTGACTTATACGATGCGTGTGACTCTCCTCTAAACTGGCTAAACTGGCAACATCTCCCAGCAATAGTTATCAACTTAGGTAACTTGGCACAATAACACGTTCTAAAATCTATAGATCGCAGATTTATGGTGTCGAGTTCGAGGAATGGTTTCTGTTCTAAAGCAAATAGTGGAGGAGATGGTTCCACGCGGGATCTCCACACCCACACCCATGCAGACACACCCCTTAGCAACAACTGGCTACCTAATGAGAGGTACTTCGTTT